CAATCATCCAAATGACGAAGTAAATATCCGTGATCATAAATTTCTTAAAAATAATAGCAATATTTTCAAATAAATAAAACTAGAAAATAACCCCACGGGAACATAAAACTACATGAAAGTATGATAAAATCACATTCCCACAATTGAGATTGAAGTTGGATTATATCTTAATTTATTGAACTAAATTGATTGTGCTTCATAGCTGGCATTTAGAATGAAATGAATTGTCACGCTCTTTGGTACTAAAGAATGAATTTGGTTTGTCAAGCAATGCCGGAACACTAATACAAACTAACTTGGCCAGATTGTTATCTACCTGTCGAAATGAGAAAAAGATAACACAATTTTGCTCAACATTTGTTAATCCATGAATTTAACGGTAAACATTTTCTTATATTGCCAGTGTTGATCAGATTTCTTCTTGGGGATATTCACTAAATACCGATACACAATGAGAATGGGCCATCATGTCGAGATAACCTCCTATGATATTTTGAAGTTGACAAAATCATCTATATCTCATTATTACTTGATAAATGCAGATAAGAATATTACTTCATCGCCTGGGGTCGTGTGACCTCAGGTGATGGCCGCCGATGCTAGATCTGACTCGCCTTGCAACCCTAGCCCTTTGCCAGAGCCGGTGAAGGGTTTGCTTTTTTTTTTCAATAAAAAAATAAACCCAAAAGCCCTTTGCAAAAAAAAAAATTCCAAACACTACTTGGGCCAAAGTAGCTCTACAAAAAACTTTTTACCAAACGCAATTTGTATTTCCCCAAAGGGGTTTTAAGTTAAAGACATTTGCATTTTCCCAAAGCCCATTTACAAAGCCAAAAAGCCATAGGCCTAGAATTTCGGAAAAGATAAACAAAGGAGAATCCTATCAATTGACAATCACTTTGATGAAAAGGATTATTTTTTAATATAGACAACTCTATTCAATTAAAGCTACACCACTCTAGGAATTTTTAATTGTATGGGCGACCAGATCTCTGAATGATTATGGTGATCATCTTCAATTGCTAAATTGATCATTTTGAAGATTATCCAATAATTAGTTTGGAGATTGAAAGCCATATAAGAATATTAACGCATGCTGAAGAAAAGATCACAAGAACAACCACAAACTGAGAAAGCTTGATACTTTAACACTTTTATTGTGTTGTTGAGCAAGAAATTCATTTACTTATCACCGATTATAATCTTGTTTGAGAAGTGTACGAGTGTTGTAGTAGTGCTTGAGTTTGGTAGTGTGATCTACCGATTTTGGGTGGAAGCAACACAGTCTATGTTGGAACTACTCAAAGGACCATTAGTGGATTTCAGCCTGATGGTGGTTATCATCAATTGTCTTTTTTTTTTTAAATGATGGAGCAGTTTTTTCGGAGAGGTAACTCCTACATATGGATAGGCCAGAATTTAATAATCAACCAGGTTTTAGATCGACAAAGAGTTGACCTCCGGTTTGACATTAAAAAAAATGCGATTCTTTTGACCCTCGCCCAGGCTGCAAGGATCGAACCCTCGCTAGATCCGACTAGAGCCACCCTCACCTGTGATGACATGGCGAGGCCGAGCCTCGCCCAGAGACGGCAAGGTCGGCCTCGCTAGTAGCCGGCGAGGGTCTTGCCTCTGACCGGTTGCCATCAGCGACCGGCTAGAGGAAGAAGGAAGGGAGGAAGGGAAAAAAATAAAGAGAAAGAACAAAAAAGAAAAATAAATAAATAATTCGAAAATTAAAAAAATATTCACGTCAACACCGGCCACGCCACGTAGGACAGCTGGCGTCCATATCATCACCGGCTTGCCAAAATTAACCGAATGGACTGAATTAGCATAATTGCAAAAGGTTTAGAACTCAAATGGCAAAAAAAAAGTTTATGACTGAATTGGAACAATTGCAATAGGTTTACGACTTTTTTTGGTAATTCTCCCATTGTACTCGTGATAATGACCTTTCAATGGTGAAATGATCTAAAACAGAACTTACACTAGTCTATTGATCTCCGTCGCCCATATCTTACATAAATCGCGTCAAGCTCAGTCGATAACGAAATTATACATTTTCCTTTTAATATCTAATAAATATTTTGAATTACCCATTTGTAATGTGAAATACATGAAAGATTCTTCAAATGAGACACACTAAAAAGATTATTTGTAAAAGTATGTTATATGAGATGTTTACTTAAATAGGTAAAAGATCTAAACATCACAACCAATTTGTTCAAATTAATCAATAATCTTATACTAGAAAATAATCCATAGTAAACCCGCGCATCGCGCGGGCTATAATTCTAGTTCATTAAGATAATTCATACATTGGATATCTTAACCTTTAGCATGTAGTCCCATATGGACATAATTGTCGGCACGATATTTAACCGCATCTCCAAGCCATTTCGATATCATGATTTAGAAATAATTCCACTAGCTGAAATCTGTGAATAAGTTGATAATAACCGACACAGAGAGACATAAAATTAGTCGGGCATTTATACGCATGTTTAACTGTTTATGCCATTTAAAAGCCAAAATACTCCTCTCTCTCTTTTTTACATTTTCATTCCATATATCTAATGCCAATATTGAAATATTTTGAAAGTTTACGTGTTTCAGAATGATCAAGTATTGAAAAGAACAAATAAGAAAAAAAAAAAGTAAGTCATTCTAAACGCATTAACAGTTTTAGCATGCCAATTTCTTGGATTTCTCAAGCTGGACGGGAGGTAATTCGGTAGGATTCACCACCAATTCCTCTAGCTCGATCGCGTCCTAAGTAAAATGAATAGTTCACAAGAGTATCTTAAGAAAACATAAGGTACGGCAAAATGATGATGCCAGATGATTGGGATCTTAATATCTCGATTATTTCAAGAGTTTTACTTATTGGATTGGGAAAAAATATCATCTATTCCTAGAGTAAAGTACCATCACCTCGTATTATGGGCGATCGGTTCCAGGGTGGGCCGGTTCCCACCCTAGAATCGGGAATCGGCCCACCTAGTCTTGGAACCGGACCGAAATCGGCAGAATTTTTGCAAATGCGAGAGGTGAATAAGCAACAAATATTTGATTATATAATTGGAGAGATTCATGCCCAATTCTCGTTGACAAATCCGAGCCAAAAATAAGCGCTTTGAAGTGAATAGAAGATCACCAATCAAATTCTTGAGGAAAGAAAATCCCCACAATCTCGAATCCAAATTTTTAGCAACTTTGAATGGTCCGGGTCAGCCGGAACCGGATCCGGACCGGTGCTCCCAGGAACTGCCCAGAACCAGCCGGGCCGGTCTGGGTCGGGCTTGTTCTTGTTGGTCACCTCTACCTCGTATGGCGCATTTATTCACATCCGTCAAAATCGTAGCTTGATGATTCAAAAATCAGGGGAGACATGAACGAAACATTGACTGAACTAATTTTCGCCTCCCAAATTTTTGGAATTGTGGCAAGTGACTCGGACCAAAATGCCAAATGCAGATCAATAAATAGTTCTGAAATACATTTTTGAGTCGTCCCTATATTATTCTCACAGTTATATAGATGATATACGACGGATACATGAGAAATATTGATTGGGGCCAACTCCTACATGTGAAATATTCATCTTCATGGGAGCTTTAAGGTTTTGGGGGGTTCGATGACCATCCAGGTCGGAGTCCCACCACCACAACACCTCTGTAGTTTGTGTTGTTGGCCCTACGTGTGAAATATTAAACTTCATGGGAGCTTTATTGGTTTTGAGTGGTCGATCGAAGTCCCACCACCACAGTTTGTGTTGTAGGCCCTACATGTGAAATATTTATCTTTATGGGAGCTTTTTGGTTTTTAGGGGATCGATGACTATCCAGGTCAAAGTCCCAGCACCACAACACCTCTGTGGTTTGTGTTGTAGGCCCTACGTGTGAAATATTAAACTTCATGGGAGCTTTATTGGTTTTGGGGGATCGATCGAAGTCCCACCACCACAGTTTGTTTGTAGGCCCTACATGGGAAATATTTATCTTTATGGGAGCTTTTTGGTTTTGGGGGATGGATGACTATCTAGGTCGAAGTCCCAGCACCACGACGCCTCTGCAGTTTGTGTTGTAGGCCCTACATGGGAAATATTTATCTTTATGTAAGCTTTTTGGTTTTTGGGGGATCGATGACTATCCAGGTCGGAGTCCCACCACCACAACACCTCTGTGGTTTGTGTTGTAGGCCCTACGTGTGAAATATTAAACTTCATGGGAGCTTTATTGGTTTTGAGTGGTTGATCGAAGTCCCACCACCACAGTTTGTGTTGTAGGCCCTACATGTGAAATATTTATCTTTATGGGAGCTTTTTGGTTTTTAGGGGATCGATGACTATCCAGGTCGAAGTCCCAGCACCACAGCGCCTCTATGGTTTGTGTTGTAGGCCCTACACGTGAAATATTTATCTTTATGGGAGCTTTTTGGTTTTGGGGGATCGATGACTATCTAGGTCGAAGTCCCAGCACCACAACGCCTTTGTGATTTGTGTTGTAGGCCCTACACATGAAATATTTATCTTTGTGGGAGCTTTTTGGTTTTTAGGGGATCGATGACTATCTAGGTCGGAGTCCCACCACCACAACGCCTCTGTAGTTTGTGTTGTAGGCCCACCAGTCGGTTTGCTTCGCGGTGCTGAATGACTTGCTGGATGGCTTCGAGGAAATAGAGTCCCTCCCTACTCACACGACGGAAGACTTTTCCACGACCAATGAAATTTTAAGAGGGCATAGTTGCCAGTTCACGGCCAATCCCGCCCCGACCAATGGAAACTCTAGTCGTAAGAGAGGGCATATATGTCAATTCAGAAGTTCTGAAATTGTAAGAAAGCGTATTGGCCAGTTCACGGCCAACCCGGTCCCCCAATGAAATTTTCCTCCCACCAACCGAATTGTCTCCTCGGGTACATCCCATAAAAAAAAAAATTTCCTCCTTTATATATATCTATAAATATATAACTTCACACAAAAGTACTCAGAGACCGAAGAATCATATAACCCAAAAATTCCAAATGAGAGCCCTCCAAGCCATCCCACCCCGCGTGGTTAATAATCCGTCTTCGCCATCTCCGGCACCGCCACTGTCCGGCAAATACAAGCTGATCGCCAGCCACTGTATCGCATATTCAGTACCCACTATTCTTGGCCTCCTCATGGTCATCTTCCTGGCAATACCCGCCATGATGCCACCGGAGTTCGGGCTCGACCCGGGCTCTTCCCTTTCGTCCCTCAACATCTCCACCTCCCACGTCTCCGCAAAGTGGAACATCGCTCTCTCTGTCAAGAATCCCAGTAAGCTCATTGCTGTCAAGTACACTCACATGAAGCTCCTCTTGAGTTTCAGCCAACTCGCTCTCTCTCGTTCCCCCCTCATTCCCACCTTCACTCAGGGCCCCGGCAAAGTGACCACAGTCCGAGCAGAGGCCCTGTCGACGATTGCTATCGTCAATGACTTGGGCGTGAAGGGCCTGGTGAGCATGTTGAAGGGCGGGGAGGTGACCATCGACGTGGTCGCGAAAGCCAAGCGGAGGCTGCACTTGGGTCCATGGTGGGTGGCCGTGTTGGACGTTTATTTTTCATGCATGGACGTGACCTTCACGGCTCCGACCGACAGCGAGAGTGGCAGCGATTGGATGATCCTCAGGGGCACCCTGAGCTGCACGCCGGACACCTTTACTATACTCTGGTAAGAAGAAAAATTAACGAAGTTCCTGTCCAGTTTTCTATTGCTATCGTCGTCGGAGTTTTTTTCTCTCCACTGAAGTTGATGAACAACATAAAATAAATGAGAACTTGTCGATGCTTAAGATCGTCACCTTCTCGGAGCCCGTCCACCTGGTTGGGTTGGCAATGATTGGTCCAGATGGTGCTACTTCCCTTTCGTACTGGTCAAGAACCACGCAGCCCCTGCGATCCGTGCTTGCGGCCTGGCATGGCCGGAGGAGGCATATGATGAGGACATGTACGGCGCCCAGATGGTGGTGACTTCACTGGACGTGTAGGCGGCGAGCTACGGCAAGGCGGTGAAGGTATGGCAAAGGTGGGGCCGCCATGTCGAACTCACCACAACAACCGCCACCGTCGCCTGCAAGTGAACTCCCATCAAAATGAGTTGCGATGAGGGTTGCATGCTTTCCCGGGGTAGAGATGGAATTCGAGTTGATGGCGTGCTTCTGGGGTATTTCGGTCGATGTCGGCTTTGGGAGCACGTGATTTATGATTATCATTGAGTGGTCCGAATAAATTTAGGGTTGTGTTATATAGCGAGTACTTAGTATATAAATGCTTAATTTTAATAATTTATTTGTGGCTTTCACATTAACAGTTTTTGTCCTAGCCTGTTTATTTGATTGATATGAACGATATTTGATTTTCACGGTCATGTGTTTTGGTGTGACTTTTTCAGATTCTCTGGACTCTGGCTTCTACAAATTTGAACATCAGTTCGAGGTTTCTCTCCTAGCCCATTACTTTGGCCAATACTTAAAAGTATAGAAGACTCTCGGTCTCATACGCTGCTGCTGGTTTAATGTCATACTTTTTTTGAGATATTGTATTTTCTGAATATTTGAATCTTCGGGTTACTTCCGAAGAAATAGTTTGCACTTTACATGTCTTTAATATCAAAGGTTTTATAAGTTTTTCCCCTTAACTTGGTTACGATCGTGCATTGACATTCAATCCCCAAGTTCGGTTGCAAAGTAGGCGACAGAGTCGGCCTCAAAAAATTGAGTGAATGGTTAAGCGTCTCGATTTGAATTCTTGCAAATTACGGTGTTTTCCGCTCAAAGTAATCTCAGGATTCATGGACATCACATTATGATAAAACCTTGCCCGATATAAATGGACATGACCTTTCATGTGCATTCATGGAGATTAATCAAGTAAAGAAAAATTTAATAAAGTGATGATGCTTAGATTAAGAAGACTCTGTGTTCCTCTTGAGGGATCTCGAGTTAGACAGCCTCACCATCCCCTCTCCATCTTTATGCAGAATGTAACCAAAAAGACGGAGCCCGTAACATTTCCCATATTTGGGCGATAACAAGCAGAAGATTACCGATGCATAATAGCCAACTTCTGAACATACTTCGCTTCCAAAGGAGCGGCTATTCTAGACTCACACCAATCCACTTAAACAAAATAACAATCATCTCGCCATTCCGGCCTCACAGAGGTAGTGAAAAAATGTGGGCTTGATGAAAAAAAGCCAGCGAATGATCTGCGGTATCTACAAAATGGTAGATGCCGTCGTATAAGAACGACGAGCTTTAAGGTTGTCTTACCAAAGATACAAGTACTAGCAGACCCCTATTATCTTGATGCTCCATGCTAGTTACATTCTAGATAACATTCGGCTCCATCTTCTATATGCACTCCCCGACTCACTGATGGCCCGTGCCAAGACTTTCCATTTGAGGTTATTTCCAGATGGTCATCAACAATGAAGTGTTTCAACTCGTTTCTCTCGTGTTGCACCCTCCCGGTGATTTCCAAGCATAATCCGCTCTTGAGACTCTTGTTCGGCACTTTACCCTTATCCGGCTTCTTCTTCAGGCCTGGATCTATAAAAATTGGTTGAACCCTAAGGGTTGGGTTTGGTTTTATTCTGTTCACTTCCCTCTTGTCCGGAGGCTTTAATATGCTGCTCCGTGATTCCATTTCTGAAACTTCATCTTCATTGAAGAGGACCTGCACCCATTCCACATCATGCTAGCTTAATTTAAAGATATGAAACTACTAAAAAGAAAAGAACACATTGAACATCCGTGAATGATACTATTAGCAGTTTAAAGAACATGTAGCAAGCTTTCACTCTGATCATTGCAAAGTAAAGATCATTGGTTTCACTTTCAGTAAGAACAGCTAATTTTCAGAGGACTTGAGATACGTTGCTAACCTTGCCATCAGAACTCAACATTCACCAATTCCAGATGCTAACCATAGAGATGAAAAGCCACAAAAATGTGACTGTCGCTCTAAATCCTAAAAAACAGAGTATGATAATCTTAAGGGCTCTTACAAAATGTTAGTGCTGCTATGGAACCGGAACGGAATAGCGTATGCACGGAACAATCGGACATTTTCACTACATTTGTTTTTGGAAAGTCGGTGAGATTAAAGTCGTGTGGAATTAGACAAACTCATTAAAATTCCTACAGAGAATGTACTCACCTTGCGACCAACCAAGTCAAAGGTCATGACCACTTTGCTTCGTTTGGCCCGCTCAGCTTCCTCGATCTCCTCTTTCTTCTTTATCAAGAGCTCCTTCTCCTGTGAGGATGAGAGAACATTTCAAAAAAGGCCTCAAGTAGGAAGCTAAATCTCTCAACTCATCAAGATTCCTAAAGATGAAAATACCTCCTTTGATAACCAGCTGTTGCCCTCAATTTCGTAATAGTCACTTTGGTCATCAATAACCGTTGTACGCGCCGCAGAGTTCCGATCGTAATCCACAAGTCTCTTGGCATAAGCTTCTGCTGCAGCTTCAGCCTCTGTGAGGACCGGTGCAGTTTGGTCGAGACCGGCATACTGGATTCCTTCCTTCAAAACAAGTGCACCGAAAAGTTACACGGCCCCTCTCCCTCCTGCTCGCAAACAATCTTGCCACAGGATAAGCAATTGCTCACCAACCTGTGCCTGCGGGCTTGGCACGAACAGGGTTTACCCTGCTGGAACACAACGGAACCTTTGGCTGCCTCAGCTAGCGACACGACCTTCCCAGATTTCTTTTTCCGAGAATTACTTTGATTCGCAGGTTTCGACTCATTGGTTCTGGTCACTGCCGACTTTTCTTGACTACTCGAGCCAGCAGCCTCTTTAGATGCTCTAGGTGGTTTCTTGGTACCGGAAGTGGAAACTTCAGCTGAGGGCGGCTTGACATAGGCATGTAATTTCGAGGACGAAACATCAGAAACCCTGCTGCTGCCGCTGCCGAGATTTGAATGGCCTCTTTGCCGCAGATATTCATCGATCACGCCTTTCCCCACTTCTTGCCCGATAATGTTCTGAGCAGAAATTTCAAAACACTAAGTCAAAACCAATCTACAGCCAAATTAAATTGTCTGCTCATAAGAAATTCATTCCCTTCGCTCGAAGAACAAATCATTCATAAACTAATCGTCAATCCACCGTAACATTACCCAATCTCTTCCTACAAACAAGACAAAAAAGAAGCCCGAGATTTCTGAAGAGGTTTCTCAGATGAAAAGTGAGATCTTTGAGTAGGACGATGCTCCATCTTCAATACCCATATGAAAATTCGATCAAGAAAATCAAAAAAGCGAGAAACCCAATTCACAGTAACACCGCACCATCGCGAGCAACCGAAGAAAGACGCGGAAGACACGAGAAAGACGGGAGATTTACGTCGAGGTACTCCTTGGCGTCGGAGGGCTGGGCGAGGTCGCAGTAGGAGACGAGACCCGAGATCACGTCCCTGTCCAAGTCCAGACCCGAGTCTGCTCGGTCGCAGAGATCCAGCAGCGCCTTCTCCAGCCATTGCCCAGGCGACTCCATTGCTCTCTGCAACCTCGAAGACGATCGGCGCGGGCTTCGCAGAAGAAGGTAAAAGCACCTTCCTTTTTCCCTTGGTTCTCGGTAGGGCAGCTCCGTACGACGTCGTTGGATGTAATTTTGTGAAAGTTTATCATAACTCATTATTGTCCATTCAGTTTCAATTTTAGTTAAGTTTGCACGAGCTTGATGTCCCGTAAAAAAGAAAATATTTTCTAAAAAGTTGATTATAGATAGCATGAGATTAGTGCATTGGAAAATATATTAAATTTTAGCTAGTTGCTTAACAAGATATGTTAGCAATACATAATGAAAATAACGTGGTATCATATACATTAGGGTATATATGTTAAAAGCATGTGAAAAAATTCGACATTAGGATCTAAAGGCGATGTTATCAAAATTTTTATCTTAATTGTGTAAAAAACGAGAAAAACATGCATACAAACTGTTGACACCTATTTTTGCCCATTTTGCCAAATCGGTACTTAATTTGTAAATGGGCCAAATTAATGCAAAAGAGAGATAAAATTTTAAAAAATTAAAAATTATTATAAAAAAAAAGTGGAGCCGGGCCAGTTCGACCCAGCCCGACCAGATTAGGCCCATTTTCATTTTCTTTCTTTTGTTTTCTTTTTCCAATTAGGCCCAAGTCCTCCTCTTCCATTCTTTTCTGGGCCCAACATTTATCCTTAACCCATCTTCCTTTTCAGCCCAGCCCCCTACTTTTCTTTCCCTCTTCCTCACACTTGTTCACGAAAGCGACAGAGAAGACAATAAGAAAAAGGGGGAAAAGAAGCAGAAAGGGGGGAGACGCGCAGCAGGGAGGAGGTCGTCGCGCGTCGTCGCGCGTCGAGGGGGCCAGAGATCAGGCGGCCAGTGGTCCCAAAAGGGGGGTCGCGATCCGGGATAAAAGGGAGCAAAGGGGGGAGTGATCGGAGAAAAACGGAGAGAGCAGAAAATGGAGGATTGAAGGGTTTTGGGGGATCATGGACTGAAGAGGACAGAACGGAGAGAGATCCAAGAGAGAGAGAGAGTTTGAGAAGAGAACAAGGTGGAAAAAGAGAGATCTTGAGGGCGAGAAGAGAGACCGAGAGCCTCGCCCACTCGCCGGAGGGCCGTCCGAGTCGCCGCTGAGCCTCCAGCCGTCGTACCTCGCCCCGGCCAGCCGTGAACCAGGTGGGTCTTCTTCGTCTTGCCCTGTTTTGGTCCCCCTCCCCTGCCTCTTGAGTGCCGGGCACACCGAGTCTATTCGGTGGTCGCCCGGCACCATAAGATGAGGAAAGTGTTTCTTTATCCAGGATGTGTTATTGAACGATTTCCATTAAAAAAAATAAAAACGTTCGAATCCCGCTGAAATCCACTTGGAAACCCTCAGTTTTAGGAAACCCTCAGTTTTAGGCGCATCCCACCTGTTCGATGAAATGACCGAATGAAAACCGAAACCAAAGTCACTGCGTCGACCCGTAAAAATCTTAGATTCACATTTGTTCGTCCTGGGGTTGATGTTTGGTGACTGATACTGTGTTGTTTTGTTCTTTGTTGTGGCATCTTTGTCGTGTATCCGAGTGAGCCATCGAGGAAACCTTCTCCGGAGACGCCATTCCCGTCGTTGGATGGACGCCTGCGGTTAGAGGCCACCTTAGTCAGTCTCTCTTTCATTGCCCCATCTTTGTTGTGTGTATGTGTGTCCATTGTATCGCTCGAAAGATTTTAGCCGATGAAAGATGTTCTAACCGGAAAATGAGTTTGAGTTTTGGGTCGCCGACGGGGAGGTGCGGTTCTTCTTTAAGTCGTCGATGTGGTCACCGGAGCGTCGGCCAGCGGTGACGGTGTAGGCCGGCGTCCGCAGTTAGCGCTGGCGGCCCGAGCCGACGGCCGGCGGTGGGTGATCACGGCGTGGTCGACTGAAGAAGAAGAAGACTCGGTGAAGAACAGTAAGAAACAAAGGGGAGAAGCATTCTGGGCAGAGAAGGTACGAAGGAGGGGATGAAGAAGAAAAAAAAATAGAAAAAGAAAAAGAAACAAAAAAAAAAGAGAAAAGAAAAGGAAACGAGAGAAAAAAGAAAAGAGAAAAAATATATATAATAAAAAATCAAAATTTGAAAACTCGGGCGGGTTGGTAACCCGGGTCAGGAGACCCGGTCCGGTTTTTTTTTATAAATATAAATATTCGAAAATTCAAAAAAATATTAAAAATTCCAAAAAAAATCGAAAATGTTTAAAAATCCCAAATTAATTAATTAATTAAATAAATTATTAAAAAATTCAGAAAAATTCAGAAAAATTCCAAAAAATTTAGAAAATTAGGAAATGTTCAGAAATCAGTTTTGGGCTTAATTTCACTAGATTTTAGGGTAAAAACTCAAAAAAAAAATGAATGAAAAATGAGAAAAAACCTTAAAAATTTTCCAAAAATCGGATAAGCCATCAGGGCTTTACTTTAGGGCTTTTGATTGCATTTTCTTTTTAGAGACGATGCTAGGTCGCTGGTTGTTTATTTTCTTCATGATTATCTGGTTGCGCATTTTTAATACATTGATTGTTATTTTCTGTTTTTAGAATGGTTAGGTGGAATCTTAGTTTTTTCGATAGGCCGTCCGGTACGTTAGTTTGCGAACATTCAAGTTTAGGTACCGAAAGGGCACTAGTTAGATCGCTAGTGTAATCAAGTCCCCGAATTTTGGAATCTCTGGTTTTCTCGTGTATCGAGACGACACTCCCGCGTCTCGATCAAGGTTTCTAGCCGACCCTTGATCATGGCTAGTGGTGACTCCAATCAATTGCGTAAATTAAAAAAATTCTCGTCGCGCGAGGTATGAGGCTTGGGAGTGCCTCGGTCTTTGGATTAATGAACCATTTGGTTTGTCTTTCGAACAAATCAATCGTTGTTCGTATCCATCGACAAATACCTCTTGCCCTAAACCCGATCTTTGGCGGGGGTAGGTCGCGACACAAACAAGAAAATATTCAATGGTTAGAGACTGTCACGTCAGTTGCTGACGTGGCATGTATGTTTTTTACTTTCCACTACTCACATTCGACACACATTCGACACACATTCATGTGACACATTTGGTAGCTAATGTGAAAGTAAATAAAAATCTAAACTTTTTCTTTTCTGTCTTTCCTTCACAATGTAACTAACTCTTTTTGGGGTATGATAATATCACTAATTTAAATATAATATTGTATAAAAACATTTCATCTTATAGCTATTTCGATAAATCAAAAAAATTTGATATTTTATTCGCGTGAATGTGATATGATATGGTCTTATTTTTTGTATATAACTAATAATTGACACGTTACATTATTAATTCATCAATGAAAAATGCGGAATGAGTAAGAAATTGAAATATTATTACATGAGCATAGCACATAACTCGTTTGAGTATTTTTCGTCACATCTTCACCTCTCTCTATATTCTGTCATTCTCGCTTGATCCCTCAACGCCACCTGCCATCCTTTCTCCATTTTCGCGTTGGTTTCGATCTTGTTGCTTCGATCGCTCAACTGGGTAAGAGACCTGCGTGATTGGTTCGTCCCTTCATTTGACAAAATGCTACTTCCGCGTTCGTCTGCATTTTTACAGTGCAAAATACGCGTGCTTGTTATGTGTTCGATGGAATTCCTAGTTGAAGTTGTGAGCTTGATGAGCAATACAGAGTGAGTTCTTTGGAAGCTTCGTTGAACTACCGAATGTTACAATCATAGGTTTATGTCGAAACATGGCTTAGCATGTTCGAGGAGAGCAGTCTAGTGTTCGGCAATGGGATACTGAGCAAACTATCCATGCCCATAACCCGTTTGACGGAATTCCAGTGTGAAATGTTGAGTAACTGAGTTTGTACGTGCAATTGTAGAGTAGATTCGATGATAGCATTGTTGGATTAGTGGATGTTGTAGGGGAGAACAAAATGAGTTTGGAATGGTGAAAATCCAACATTCTTCAACATCACTCTATTTCTGAAAACACAGCATCTTCTTTCACCGGTCTTCCCTCCACTGTCAATAGCAAACCCTAGCAATGCACCTCCCTTGGTGATGCAACTATCATCCGCTAGACTCAACTTTCTTGCAACCCTCACTGATTATCTCGAGTTGGGTGGCGCTTCCTTCCCTGCAGTACACGCAATTCTCCCGCAAATTTCTCTGTCTCGATTCACTTTCTTGTTTCACTAAGAAAGGAAGTCTATGCTTAGTTTCTTGGAAAGATTTTTTCTCATTGATAAAAGATGAACTGGAAAAGAGGGGAAACAAAGAAAAGACCTACGCACCTACTGTTGTAATTCTATTTATTGTGTGGAAAATTTCCAAAGTTGGTACATGATTCAAGAAAATGATCAATTGTGTATGTCAATTTTTCAAGGCATCGCTTTCTTGTTTCATCCTTTTTGCTGCCCCCTTTCCTCTATCCCAGCAATTGGTTGAACTCACGACTTCTGTGTCTTTCTCTCTTGTTCAGGGGATCACGGGGATGTATGTAAATGGAGCAGAAAAGAAGTTCACGGTAAATAATTGATGGATTTCGAGCTGTCTCGTTGTTAGACGGTCGGTCTTGGAATGCGTCGTGCTATACTTCCAAAACATGTGGCCGCGGTTGTTAGGTACCAAAAGGATCCTCTCAGAGCATTGGAGATGTTCAATTCAGTTAGAAAAGAAGATGGCTTCGAGCACACATTGTCGACTTACAAATGCATGATTGAAAAGCTCGGGTTTCATGGGGAGTTTAAGGCTATGGAGAATTTGCTGGCAGAGGTGAGATCAAACATCGATAGCGGTTTACTCGAAGGAATCTATATTGGGGCCTTGAGAAGTTATGGAAGGAAAGGCAAGATTCAGGAAGCCGTCAATGTGTTTGAGAGGATGGATTTCTACGGTTGCGAGCCGTCAGTCCAATCTTACAATGCTATCATGAATATACTTATTGAGAATAGTTACTTTAATCAAGCCCATAAAGTGTATCTGAGGATGAGGGATAAAGGGATTGCTCCAGATGTGTACACTTTCACAATCAGGATAAAGTCCTTTTGTCGGACAGGTAGGCCTCATGCTGCTCTAAGACTTCTCCGAAATATGACTTCTCAGGGTTGTGATCACAATGCTGTTGCGTATTGTACTGTCATTGGTGGGTTCTATGTAGAGAATTATCGATGTGAGGCATATGAATTGTTTCTTGAGATGCTTAGTTTAGATATTTATCCTGATATCACCATATTCAATAAGCTGATTCATATACTTTGCAAGAATGGGGACATCCAGGAGAGTGAAAAGCTTTTTGCCAATATCCTGAAGAGGGGATCAAGTCCAAATTTGTTCACATTCAATATTTTCATTCAAGGACTTTGCAGGAAAGGAGCTCTTGTTGAGGCTGTGAAGTTGCTGGAAAGTGTAACTACGGAGGGTTTAACTCCAGATGTTGTCACGTATAACACTTTAATTGGTGGCTTGTGTAAGAATTCTAGGGCTGTGGAAGCTGAAAGCTATGTGCGTAAAATGGTGAATTTTGGGCTTGAGCCAGACGACTATACATACAACACTATAATCAATGGATACTGCAAAGTTGGTCTCACAGAAAATGCAGATAAAATTCTTAATGAGGCCGTTTTCAAGGGATTTGTGCCTGATCAGTTCACATATTGTTCTCTCATCAGTGGGTTCTGCCAAGATGGTGATGTCAGGCGTGCTATGGATTTATTTAATGAGGTATCAAGAAGAGGAGTGAAATCTAATGTTGTTCTCTACAATACAGTGATCAGAGGCTTGTCCCAGAATGGGCTTATAATGGAAGCCTTGGAATTAATGACTGAGATGTCGGAAAATGGTTGTTCCCCCGACATATGGACATACAATCTTGTTATTAATGGACTTTGCAAGATGGGCTGCGTATCTGATGCTTATGGCCTGATGGATGATGCTATAACCAGAGGCTACATTCCTGACATTTTTACTTTCAATACATTGGTTGATGGCTTTTGTAAGCAATTGAAGTTGAATAGTGCAATTGAGATTATGGAGAGAATGTGCAGTCATGGTGTTTTTCCCGATGTGATCACATATAACTCTTTGTTGAATGGCCTATGCAAGGCTTCAAAGTTTGAACATGTGATGGAAACGTTCGACACAATGATAGTGAAACAGTGCATCCCTAACATCATTACTTACAATATACTCATTGAGAGCTTATGCAAGACTCACAAAGTAAAGGAAGCTTTGGATTTGCTCGATAAGATGGAAATAAAGGGGATTGCACCAGATATTGTAAGTTTTGGCACACTGATTAATGGTCTTTGTGATCATGGGGAGCTGGATGAAGCCTACAACTTTTTCAGGAAAGTGGAGGAGCATTATAAGGTTTCTCATACGACAGCAACATACAATATAATGATCCATGCTTTTCTGAGAAAACTAAAAATTGAACTGGCAGGAAAGCTTTTACATGAGATGAGTGTCAAAGGTTGCCTTCCCGATAGTTACACATATCTTGTGATGATTGATGGATTCTCTAAAGCAGGGGATGTTGACTCTGGATATAACCTTCTACTCGAAAAAATTGAGAAGGGTTTTATTCCAACGCTTGCTACATTTGGACGCGTAATAAATTGCCTTTGTGTGAAGCATAGGGTTCATGAGGCTGTTGGGATCATTCACCTTATGGTTCAAAAGGGAATTGTTCCTGAGGTAGTGAACGCTATTTTTGAGGCTGACAAAAAGGAGGTGGCCGCGCCTAAGATTGTTGTGGAAGACTTGTTGAAGAAAAGCCATATAACTTATTATACTTATGAACTTCTCCATGAGGGTGTTAGGGATAAAAAGATGCTAAAGAAGATGCCTCCTAGTAGATTCTTACGTGACCCAAAGAAGATGTCCTCGTCTGTTGATACATCGATATCTTGAAAGGATGGAACAGTCATACATTTTGCATGATTTTAGTTCCAAACCTTGCAATGCTTCAATTACTATTGCCATATAAGAAAAGGTCTACTGGTATATTGACAAAGAAGACATATTACAGGATTGTACGAGGATGTGGTGACAACTGAATATTATGTCGAACTACATGAGCACGCATGTATAGATCCATAGCTCTATCATAGGCTGCTCTTTCCTTTGTCGACAGAATTCCAACATGTCAGCAAGCACCTTCACTGAGAGTCCTGTGTATATAGCTTCGCTTGGGCCAAGATCATCTTCAATATACTATTGAGGCTCAACTCTTTGTTGCCATGGAAGCTAGGGTAAGGCATTTAGCTACCTCTTGGTAATTTACATTCTCATTTCTAGTGGAATAAAGAAAAAAAGTACATTTTTGTAGATTTTCTAGTGCTCCATATAAAACTCACTCTTCCCCCCTCTCTGGGTCAGAATTCCCTATATATCAGAAATCTTCGCTACATGGAATCTTGCCCATATGGTTTCTTCAGGCTGAGTTCACCAGATATTGAGATTGAACTCATTTGTGCGCTCAAACTCTGGTAAGGCGCTATGCTAATTCTCGGTAATTTACATCCTCATTTCTCTTTGTAAAAAGAAAAAGTGGGACAATTTCATTTTTACATATCTTAGTGCTGTGTATTTTGTTCACTCCGTATAACGTGTAAAATCTTTTTATTCTCTAAGAATCAACCACATCTATGCCCAGATAATCTTGTCAAACATTATAAATTTCTACAAAGTTGCTTAGAGAAATATGGCAATGTACCCTCGCCTTTGACAGTTTTCAATTTTTTCTTGGACGAGAGCCTTTGAAGTTTATAGCTACTATTGTTGATTGGGCTCGAGTGATTTGGACTAGTGATGCAGTTAGTTTTTACATACAGAGCTAGACAAACTCAAACTCACATCTTAAGACTCGTCTGTTTAATTCCAGATTGATGAGGTTGCAGCATATTTCAAGGTTGGTTTACGTGGAAAATGAATCGCAATTGATGCCTGTACAAATTTACTTATAAGCAGGCCAGTCAATGGAGAAGGATGAACCAGTGAGGATTAAGCTTATTAAAATGAGAACGTGACCTCAACTCCACTGACTAGTCATTCAAGGCTATGTGAAGCATAAGAACGAGAACCTTGTGCCGGTGGTCATCTGGAAGTGAAATCTGTTTCATAAGAACTGTGATTTGATTGACAGAATTATTTACATGCCTGAGAAGGAGATGTTGGATAGTCATCATATTTGGTTCAGCACTATTCATATTTGTTTCCTAGAGGTACTTGTAATGCTGTATAATTTGCATTTACCAATCACATTTTCCTTTTCAAACGACTGTCCGTCCTATCTTATTTTTAGCAATGACAAGGTACGTAATATTAGTTTACCGTCTGAGTTTTGTAGTCTTCTCTGAGTCGCACAAAACTGTACAAGACATGAATTTGTGTTTCATCACACACAAGTGGAAAGAAAACCTTTTCAGTGGATTCCCGTGAATGCTAAATGTCTGTTTCAACAGATCTGTAATGTTCTATCCTTACAAAGCAAATCAACATGATGCGCCACATGTAAGAACATTCCCATCTCTGATCTTAGTTGTGGCATTCTGACTATGACCTGGTCAGCCACTACTATCTTCTCCTTTATAAAGCGATCTATATTAGAACAAAGAGACACTTTTCTGAAATTGGGAAACAGTTCCGTGTCATGGCAGTTGATTCGTGCCCAAAACTTGAAGGCCAATCATTACTATGTAGGCTGATAGATAAAGGGCTGAATGCTTTGGATCATCCGCAAGCACATGGTCAACAAATCTACTTTCCTGCTTTTGCATGTGTGATTTCTCCGTTGGATACTCTGAAACCCCTATCCAGTTGATTAAGTCCAATTGACAATCATATGGTCTATCATCACTGAATTTGCCCATGGCCCAAACCTGCCAAAGATGGAGCTAGGTCAGCCTTTAGACTTATTTCATTGTTTCTCCAGTTCTGACCATTTATGCGAGAGATTGAGAAAGAAAATGAGAGAGCTCACTTGATTTTTTATGGGAGAAGAACATCCAATGTGATCATGTCGGTAAGTTTGACGTCCTGCCTCGATCAAAGACAGGCAGGATCTTCTGGGAAAGTATACTAAGATCAAAACATGAACAGCTACGAAAGCGACGGAAAAATTATCACTGGGAAGACCAAATTCATTCTTTACCTTTTCATTTTCCGTGCTTCTTTCGGGAAGGCAACACGCTGCACTGTTCCGAGGTTCTGCAAGTGACACCGTGATTTGATAATGCCTGAATTGAGCATCTAAAATCCAGCATCATTGCATGGTTCCGTTAGACCACTGTGATAATATGAACAAAAATGCATGGTCAAGATGAGCATAAAGAGCAAAGAATCACTAAGCTATCAAGTATTTAAGGTAATCCAGCCTTGGCATCTTAAACAATCCTATGAAGCAAAAGCCGGCAAAGAGGGCGCTGGCAAAAATGAAGTGATAACTCATACAGAGAAGCTGGCTGCATGCCAACTCCAAGCCCTACTTCCTACTATAAGAAGTCAATAATAGAGACCATGGTTGAATACAAGAGAGCGATTGAAGAACATGGCTCCTTTGATCGCGTTAATCGCACTAGCTGACTCCCATTGCGTAAACTACTGTGTTCGTCTAAAGGAATGGTCAAACATGCTCAAAATGCAGTGCTGGTAAGCTCAACTTAAGTACTTAGACAGCGGGATGCTAACCCACGAGGTTATCCCATTAAATTGGGAACAACAAAGTTGATATAGAAGATACAGTTGTTTAACTATCTGTCTGTTCTCAGGATTGCCAGCCTGAGAAGTTCAAGGAATGGGCTATGTTATGTAGCATCCAGAATCCGGATCGTCTTCTTGACACACGTATAGGCAATGGAAGCAAACAAATATTTGACTAGTTTGCCTCCTCAATTTATATTCTATCGAGTAAAATCCTCGATCACCACCTGAAAGCAGCACAAATAGTTGCACAAGATCTGCCCATCCACCCAATCAAAGTCTCAAAGTATTTCTACCTCAAACAACACTCCAACCAGGTTCCTTCTTTGCTTTAGCTCCTTTCATCGAACTTCTAATGTTCATGACTTCTTCCCACTGGCCCATGTCAGCGTAGATGTTTGACAAAGAAATATAAGCTCCAGCATCAGATGGCCCGCACTCGGTGATCTTTTTTGCTGCTAGTTTTCCGAGCTCAATGTCACCATGTACTTTACAAGCAGCAAGCAGTGTCTCCCAAACCAAAGCATTAGGTTCAACTGGCATGTTGCTGATGAACCTTTCAGCCTCTTTAAGTCTCCCTGAGCGACCAAGAAGATCGACCATACAGGCATAGTGGCGGTAGTTAGGCTTGATGCCATAATCCTTAACCATCGAATCAAAATGGAAATAACCTTCTTCAACCAAACCACTGTGGCTACAAGCCGAGAGAATCCCAACAAAAGTCACTGGATCAGGTCGCATCTTCTTTCTCTTCATAAGCTCAAAGAGCCTCAAGGCCTCCTCACCTATTCCATGTCTGGCATAACTCATGATCATTGTTGTCCAACCTATCAAATCAGGTGACTCAATCTGATCAAATGCTTTAACACAATCATTGATGCCTCCAAATTTGGAGTACATTGCCACTAGTGAACTACCAACAGCCACATTGGAGTCCAATCCTACTTTCATTGCGTAAGATTGTAGCTGTGTTCCTATGTCTGATCTGTTTGTGAGAGTAACAGCCTGAACAACAGATGATATACTGAAGGAGTCAATGGCAAAATTAGCCTTGAGCATCTTGTGAAACATCAACAATGCCTCCTCAATGTACCCATTCTGGGCATACCCTGAAATCATTGACGAACATGCAACATCATCCCACAAGGGTAGTAAGTCAAGTAGCCTTCTTGCCAATTTCAGATATCCGCATTTGGAGTACATCATAACAAGAGCACCACCAACTGTGATCTCTTCACCAAATCCTAATCGGATAACTTTGGCATGAACTTCCTTGCCTTTGTGTACTGAGTTTAGTGAACAGATTGCAGTTAAAATTGCAACAAAGGTCGATTGATCAGGACTATTCCCCTCAAGCAGCATATTTCTGAATAGTCGAACTGCTTCATCTGGATGATTATTATTAGCAAAACCAGCAATCATAGATGTCCAGGAGACATTGTCTTTTTCACAAATTTGCCCAAAAATTTCATATGATTCTCCCAAACTATGACATTTAGAATACATTGTAAAAAGTGAACTAGCAACCGAGACATCAAAGACCAAGCCACTTTTAATAACATGAGAGTGGACCTGTCTCCCCAAGCTTAATGTGTTTACAACACTTAAGAGACTGGAAGTACAGTACTTATCTGGTCTCAAACCTTCCTGTAACATTCTCATGAACAATTCTACAGCCTTTTCAGCATCATTAGCCTGTGCATGCAGAGATATCACAACTGCATGACTATGGGGATTTCTCCCTCTTTCCATTTCTACAAATATTAATTCAGATGAGTCAACAGCTCCAACTTTGGAATACGTATTGATTAAGGAAGCCCCCACTGCTGGGTCCAAGTCAAATCCACATTTAATGATCAAGGCATGGAATTGTGCGGCAGTTTTAGTTGATCCTGGTCTGCCACAAGCACTAAGTAAACTAGTAATAGTAAAGGTGTTTATTTCCTCCCCCAAACTTCTCATTTCTTTGAACAGTTGGACTGCAGAGATAGAATCATCCAGCTGCACAAAACCTGAAATCATGGCAGTCCAAGAAACAACGTTGCGGAAGCGCATCCGAGTAAATATCTTCATAGCTCCTTCCATATCTCCGCATTTGGCATATAAATCAGAAAGCGAAGTACTTACGTACACATCATAACTTCCACACTTAATGATCCATCCTTGGATCACCTTTCCAGTCTCAAGGTCTTCAAGCATTGCACAGGCCGTAAGAACACAAGGAAAAGTGAAACTATTTGGCAGAAAAGTGCCATGACGACATAATTGCCGGAAAAGATCCAAAGCAATCCGGTTCTCTCCATTCCTAACTGCCCCCGCGATTATAGCATTCCAACAAACCACATTCTCACACAACACATCATGAAAAACCCTCAAAGCATCATCAAACTTATAATTCTTCGCAAGCAAATCAATCATCCCAGCTCGAACATAACCGTTTGCGCGAAAACCTTTCCTCAGTGCCAGAGAATAGACTTGCATACCATTCAGTGGAGCCTGCATCCTGGTACAGGCCGAGATAACACTTCCATACGTTATCTCATCCGCCTCAAAACCCGACTTATGCATCCTGCAAAATTGCTTCCACGACTCCAAGAACAAAAATTCCTTATTACAACCTGAAATGAGAACGTTCCAAGAAACAACACGCCGTTGAGGACCTGTATCAAACAGCTTGAGTGCATATCCCGTGGCATCGCATTTCCGGTAGCAATCCATCAAAGAATCCGAAATGCCCACTTGGGATTGCAAAAGACGTCTTTTGAGCAACTGGGCATGCAAGACTTTCGTGTTTGCCGCGGTGCACTGCCCAGACTTGGCATAATCATTGAAGAGGACAAGAAGGGGGTCAACCGGAGCGGCAGCCGGTTCGGGTTCTTCATCGAAGAAGATCGATGGAGGGTCAATGACGGCCAAGGAGTGCTTGAGGTTTATAGCAGACGATGATGATGATGATGAAACTCTCTCGTGGATGTTGCGAAGGAAGAGAGGTTTCATTTGGGTTCAGAGAGAACAAACGGCTCAGTTCGATGAAATTAACGGGATGAAGATGCGCGGGACGACAATATATATATATATATATATATATATTCATTTTATCGAATAAATCCAACACGACATGTCAAGATGGCCGAGTTGGTCTAAGGCGCCAGTTTCAGGTACTGGTCCGAAAGGGCATGGGTTCGAATCCCATTCTTGACAATCTCTCTTTTTATTTTTAATTTTTCTATGAATATAGAATCTAATGGTTCCGATGACACAAGAAATTGATAAAATCCATCATACAGTTGTTAACAATTGATTCGAATGTTATATGAATATTTGTTTGGAACGATGGTTGCTTCGGATTTTTTTTTCCAAGTAAATTTAAGGGAAAATAACATAAATGGTCTCTGAACTTAAGTCAAATGTGCAATGTGGTCCTTAAACTTTCAATTTGCTCAATGTGGTCCTCAAACTTTAGCCTAATGTGCAACATGATTCATAAACTTTTAATTTGTTCAATGTGGTCCGTAAACTTTTGGTACATGTTCAAACTAGTCTTTGGATTATATAAAGATGCTAAATGTTGTCCTTCTATTAATTTAAGTTCAGAAACAATATTAAATATTTTCATATAGTTCAGGGATTAGTTTTAACATATACAAAAAATTCAAGGATCAGATTCAATAAATTGAAAATTCAGGGATCACATTGCACATTGGGCTAAAATTCAAGGATCATTTGTGTCATTATTCCTAAATTTATTTAGTGAAAAAGAAGAAAATGAATTACCTGAAATTTGTACTAATTCTATTCATTCTACAATAGTTTCTTTAATTAGATTTCTAATTGTAGATTTATTGATGACCGTTTAGCCTAGACTAATGGATACGATAAGGAAGGAATCTTGTTTACCACAGAAGATGTGGATTAGTACCAAAACATTCCGCTGAGAAGTCAAATAAAATTAGTCGCCATGTACATGCTTTAAGAATTTTCACGTTCGTGCTAAAAATTGGAAGATACTTGCGATTCGGGATAAAAATGACACTGAGCTATATAAAAATATATAGGTGAGTAGGGGTTAGCATGGTCCAGGTGGATGGTTCTTAACATGAAGTCGGGAACCACTCACTAAGGATTGATTTCCAAAAATTGGAACCGGAAATCATCTGTTGGTTCCATGGACCCACCCGTCCCACTAGCAAATGGAGATGACCGAGAGCGAGAGAGTGAGACGATGAATGACCAGAGTCAAGGCCGTGAGTTGATGGGAGTTGAGAGTCGAGCTTCAAATTAGAGAATTTATGATTTTCATTTTCCTTAAAATGTTTTCTTTTTTTTTTGTTGAAATTTTTCTTAAAAATTATATATATTACCGGTCCGGTTCGGATGAGCGGCTCCACGCCTAGAACCGGGAACTGGACCTGTACTCACCGGTTATAATAAATTAGAACCGGCAACCAGACCGATCCCGACGAGAACTGCCGGTTCCAGGTAGGGCCGGTCCGATTCCGGGCGGTTTCCGGTTCCTTTGTACACCCCTATGGGTGAGGTGAAAATAAGTTCAATTTAGTAACAATGAGCAAATTGATAAACTTTGAGGACCAAAGTGCAATTCTGCTCTTCATTTTCAAACCATGCTGACGCCCGAGACGAGGTTTCGCGGTTTCTTGAGAAACAAGAACGATCTTGGTCAACGATCTGACATTTTTTTCTCCTTACTTTCTTTTCCATTTTCAAATGGTTAGGTGATGAACACATTAATTTGAATTCCAGAGCAGATCATTTTCTTTAATATGTATTCGGTCCATTTCTTGCAGAGAATGCCTCCTACTTGCTCCTCAAGCTGTAATAATAGCCGCGGTTCTTGTCAAACAATCCAAAGACGCTTTCGATTCGAGTTGAGTTGAACAACGCGTCGCATATTTAAGCACTAAACCCATGAATCTCCATGTCCAATCTGAAACTCAGAGAGAGAGAGAGAGAGAGAGAGAGAGAGAGAGAGAGAGAGAGAGAGATGGCAGGAGAAGAAAACCAAGTGGTTCTTTATGGAATGCGGGTTAGTCTGTTTAGCGCGAGGGTAGAGCTAGCCCTGAAAGTGAAAGGGATCGAGTATGAGTTCGTGGAAGAAGATTTGATGAACAAGAGCGAAGCCCTCTTGCGGTACAATCCTGTTCACAAGAAAATCCCTGTTCTTGTTCACAACGGCGTGCCCTTCGCGGAGTCGTTGGTCATTATCGAGTACGTCGACGAGACTTGGAAGGAGGGTCCTCGGCTCTTGCCCCAAGATCCCTATGAAAGAGCCAAAGTTCGCTTCTGGGCCGGCTATCTCCACCAGCAGGTCAGTGCAAATTTTCCTGCAAAATGTTTGATGAAATTTCTCGACGTGTACATGATCATTTATTGCATTACTCCATCGTCACGGGACAAGCAGATCATGCCTTTTGGTTCACAGCTTTACATGATTTACCATGTTGTTTATCTATCGGTGTGTGCGAGTGTCCGTAGTGATGATCTTGACTTGCAAATTTATTGAGTATGCATGGGATTAATTAAAAGACAAGGAGTAGGAAATGAGGAAGAATGTGTGTCCGCACGACCGGGGGAGCTGTATATTACAGCGACGAATGACGATAACAATGACACTGACAACAGTTGCAACAACCTACTGTTGTCTTTAATTGCTATTTCCTTGAGATAGGTAGGCTGCTGCCTGATTGTTATTCACTGAGCATGAGAAATGGAAAGATGTTTCTTTAGCAAAATTGACCGATCTAAAAAAAGTAGGATCAAACTAGCGTTCAAGCAATTTGATCGTTGGAAGTTGTTAACTGCAGTTGTTTGAGGCTGTCGCCTCTGTGATCAAAACTGATGGAGAAGCGCAAGAGAGAGCTGTCAAGGAAGTGCACGAGAAACTGAAGGTGTTGGAAGAGGGCATCAAGGGCAGTTACCCCGGGGGGTCCCCATTTATCAATGGCGACAACATGGGACTCCTAGACATTGTTGTCTGTTCAATATTGGGTCCTCATAAAGCTCAGGAAGATGCCCTCGGTGTAAAATTTCTGGATCCGGAGAAGCATCCAAGGGTGACCTCTTGGGTGAAAGCTCTAACGGAGTTGCCATTGGTGAAAGAGGCAATGCCTCCTCATGAGAAGCTGGTGGGCATTCTTCAGCTCTTCAGGGCTAGGGCTCTTGAATCTGCAGCAGTTTGATGCTTATAAGGGTCTCCTTGATAATAAAGGTCGGAACTTCGTCTGTCACACTCACATGTTATATTTGATTGCACTTCTGTGTAATCTGAATGTATTTGCGGAATAAGCTATTACCCAGTAAAGTTTACTTCAAATGTTTCAATACTTCTCAGTCTCTCTATCAATTCTGTTACTGCAATAACACTGAACAAGCCATTCGTTTCATCCTACTGCTGCTATATTATGTTGCTATCGACTATTGATACTACTAGCTGCATAGAAAACTGACAGCACGCAACCTGCAACATCGCTGAACACGATGAAAGGATCTAACTTTGTGAGAAGATCATCACATGCTTTTGCCGATAACCTCCTTCTGCGGTGTAAATCCCTACATTTCTGATAACCATGTTTGGTTGTCAACTCTAACAAAAGATTTACTTTTTTTCCCTCTTTGCATGATATGGTCCGTCACCGTGAACAGATTTCTGCTTGAAATTAGCTGAACTGGACTGATTGAAGTCAATTAAGATCATGTACTATTGGATGGCTGATCTTTGCATTGCCAGGGATGTTTTCAATGTGAATCGCCCAATAACTTTCTTTCCAAGCTAGTCCGGTGGAAATGCTCTAGGGACGAGACATATTCTTAGGATAGCGAGATTTGTTCTTATGGGAAAAAGAATGGAATCTGTAATTTGAATACCATGAATGATGATCGTGGGCTCTCCATTTGGTCGATTTGACAGTTAATATGCCGTGCTGTTTCCTAGAAATGGTAAAATCACACATTTACGTTGTTATATCATTGATTCAACCACCATGGTACATCAGCACATTGATATGCTTGATATACAGCTCAGTTATATCTCACATCATGACCCAAATATGATTGTAACTGTGTAAAATCATGACCTCGCGACTGTTGCTTTAGCTAAATGGAACCTTGCTATGTCTATGACGTGTTCAAAAATGCCATTTCGTTTGACTGCATCCACCATGGACACTTGAGATGGATGCTTTTGCAGCTTAATGATCCCCCATTGGAAGGTTCAACACAGAAAGAAATTGAAAGGAAGTGACTTCGTTACTATGAACAGAGAAGAGATTCAGAGAAGGATCTGATTTTATGTTCGTCAACCGAGAAATCGATGAAACAGTCTCAGCGCATATTTGAGGAGGAGGAGGTGATTCGCTGCAGGTTTCTTCTTTGAATTGTACAGAACATTTGTATTTGAACAGCAATTTGAAAAGAAAAGGCAAGTTTGCTTGAAAAGAAGCAGAAGACAAGAAAGACTACCATACTTGCCTATAGGCTATAGCATGTCCAGTTAATTAGTTTGTAAGTTAAACAGGGACCTCTTTAAGCATGATATCCCATGGAAGGGATGAATTGCCGTCGCTCTCTCTGTTTTTGTTGTTTTTTTTTTTTTTTAGTAAGGTAAGTAGTATATTAACTTTTCTAAACGCAATTTACAAGGAAAGAGATCGAACACAAAAACCTCGAACCTGAGGAGACAAAAGAGGTGTCCCGATAGATTAAAGGTGTGTCGACTCAACAAAGCAACAATAGTGCACCAAAAGGCAAGGACAAGAGATGCGTCCAACCGGGGAAGGATCGAAAAGACCTACAAGGAGATCTCTCAAAGTTGGTCAAAAATGGAAGTGGAGAGACCCCAGTTTGCTTGGATTCTTCTATTGCGGGGGGAGTCTTGAACATGCTTGAAGGTAGCGCCCCTATCCCTTATCACCTTAGTGAGGTGGTTGTGTATGGCCGGTACAAAGAGTGACCGGTTTCTGAAGAGAATATGATTCCGCTCAGTCCATATGGTATAGCACAAAGCAGCAAAGGAGAAACGAGCTAATCTTTGGTGGAAATTATCTCCATCTATATATTTGGTTGCCCACAAAAGGTTGTCTTGCCAAGAAGAATTCCTCCAGAGGAGGTCGCAATTATGAGCCCAGAAATGCAAGAGAGCCCGTGACCGAGTACGCAAAAAAAGAGGTGGTCCACCGAGTCCGGTCTACAACGACAAAAAGCGCAGACACCTTCGAGATTCTTCGGTAAGAAAGTAAAAGCACTTGCGTTGGCAATCTATTAAGGGCCATCAACCACAACAAGAATCCATGCCGGGGAGATATAAAACCGTCCCAAATGAAGGAGTGCCAGTACATGATCTGCCCTCTTTTTCTAATCATTCCCCATGCCGAGGCAACAGAAAATCTACCTGATTGATGTCCTTGCCACAGAAATTTATCCCCAATGTCCCCCACAAGGGTGGGAGAACCTCATTCCAGGAGTAAAACGTACACAGTACCAAAGAGTCCTGCCAAACCGAGGAAAGAAGTCTTTTACCGAGGCATTGCGAAGGGATGCCGGACCGAAATATTTCCCTATCGCGAAACAACTTGTAGAGAGGGCCTCTAGGATGCCAGCAATTGTTTTGTTTCTTATCAAGGACCATAGAAAAAACCTGTTAATTCATGAACCGAGAATCCAATGTTTCGACGACACGAGAAATTGATAAATCCATCATACAATTACTTATGATTGATTGAAAAATAATTTACGTATATTTACTGGGAATGGTGGTTACTCCGGTTTTATTCCCAAGTAAGTTATTTTAGTGAAAATGGAGAAAATGAATTACATGAAATTTGTGCTAGTTCTATTCATTCTAGATTAGTTTTTCTTAGATCTTTCATTGTAGATCAATCGATAGTTATTTGGCCTAGACTAATGACATAGATCCAGGGGAAATCACGTCGCATGTTGAAAATATCCGTAACTAGGGCAAAGAAGGTGTGGATAAGTACAAATAGTTATTTCCGTCGAAAAGTTCAACTCAAAATCATTCGCCTTGTGCGTACTTCAAGAAATTTTAAATCCGTGCTGAAAATTATACGACGATTAGCAATTTGGGATAAAATTGACGCAAGCTATACAAAAATAGGTGAAGTGAAAATAAAGTTAATAACAAGGGGCGAATTGATGAACTTGAGGACCGAAGTGTAATTTCTCCTCTTCATTTTCAGACAATCCTTGCGCTCGAGACGAGGTTTCGCAGTTTCTTGAGAAACAAGAACGATCTTGGTCAACGAGGGAAGAAAGAAGGATCTCATCTCCTGACATTTTGTCTCCTTGCTCTTTTCCATTTTTTAATGGGGAGGTGATGAACACATTGAGTTGAATTCCAGAGCAGATCATTTTCTTTAATATGTATACCGTCCATTTATTGCATAGGATAATACCTACCGCTTGCTCTCGTCAGAAAGCTTTTAGTAATGGCGATGGTTCTTGTCAAACAAGCCAAAGATGCTTGGACTCCACGTTAAATTGAACAACGCGTCGTATATTTAAGCACTAAACCCATGGATCCTCCACGTCCAAGCTGAAACTCAGAGATAGAAACACCCAGAGAGAGAGAGAGAGAGAGAGATGGCAGGCAGAGTGGTTCTTCATGGAACTGGGGCTAGTCCGTACAGCAAGGGGGTGGAGCTAGCTCTGAAAGTGAAAGGGGTCGAGTATGAGTTCGCGGAAGAAAACTTGACGAACAAGAGTGAAGCGCTCTTGCGGTACAATCCTGTTCACAAGAAAGTCCCTGTTCTTGTTCACGACGGCGTGCCCATCGCCGAGTCGCTGGTCATTATCGAGTACATCGACGAGACTTGGAAGGAGGGTCCTCGGCTCTTGCCCCAAGATCCCTATGAAAGAGCCAAAGTTCGCTTCTGGGCTGGCTTTCTCCGCCAGCAGGTCATATTTTCCTGCAAAAAAAATTGATGAAATTTCTCAACGTGTACATGATCATTTCTTGCATTACTCCATCGTCACAGGACAAATGAATTATGCCTTTTGGTTCACAGCTTTACATGATTTGCCATCTTGTTTATCAATCAGTATGTGCACTTGTTCGTAGTGATGATCTTGACTTGCAAATATATTGAGCATACTAGTGAGTAATTAAGAGACATAAAGTAATAAATGAGGACGAGTTCTCTTTTTCCCCAATAAAATCTCGATAACATGTGTCCGTGCGACCAAGGGAGCTTTATATTACAGCGATGATAACATGACACTGACAACAGCTGCATCAAACTGCTGTTGTCTTTAATTGCTATTACCTTGAGATGGGTAGCTGCTGCCTAATTGAGCGTGCGAACTAGAAAGATTTTCTCTTTGCAAAATAGAACAATCAAACTAGAGTTCAAACAAGTTTATGATTGGAAGTTGTTAACTGCAGTTCTATGTGGCCATGGCCTCTGTGATCAAAACTGATGGAGAAGCGCAAGAGAGAGCTGTCAAGGAAGTGCACGAGCAACTGAAGGTGTTGGAAGAGGGCATCAAGGGCAGTTATCCCAGGGGGTCCCCATTTATCAACGGCGACAACATGGGACTCCTAGACATTATTGTCTTGCCGATATTGGGTGCTCATAAAGTTCTGGAAGAAGTCCTCGGTGCGAAATTTCTGGACCCAGAGAAGTATCCAAGGGTGACCTCCTGGGTGAAAGCTCTAACTGAGTTGCCATTGGTGAAAGAGGCAACGCTTCCTCATGAGAAGCTGGTTGGCCTTCTTCAGTTCTTGAGGGCTAGGGCTCTTGAGTCTGCAGCAGCTTAATGCTTCTAAGGGTCTCCTTGATAATAATGGTGGGAACTTCGTCAGTCACATTCGCATGTCATGTTTGATTGCACTTCGATGTAATCCGAATGTATTTGCGAATAAGCTATTGCCCAATAAAGTTTACTTCAAATGTTTCCCTACATCTGTCTCTTTTTCAATTATTGTATTGCGATAATACTGAACTTGCTATCTGTTCCATCCTACTGTGCTATATTATGTAGCTACTAATTATTGATACTACTAGCTGTATAGAAATCTGGCTGCCTGCAACTTGGAACTTCGCTGAACAGAACGAAGGATCTAACTTTGAACAATATAGTTCATTGCTGGGAAAAGATTTCTGCTTGAAGTCAGCTGAACCGGACTGATTGAGGCAGTTTAGATCATGCCTATTGGATGGCTGATCTTTGTATTACTAGGGATATTTTCAATGTGAATTGCCCAAAAACATTCTTTCCAAGCTAGTCTTGTCAGATGTGTTCTCGCGCGCGCGCACATGTAGATATGCTCTTATGCCTAGGTGGAATTGCTCTAGGGACAAGACATCTCCCTAGGCTAGCCAGATCTGTTCTCATTGGAAAGAGAATGAAATCTATAATTTGAAGACCTTGAATGATAATCCATGGGCCTCTCCATCAGGTCGATTGACAATAAATCTGCCATGTTTCCTAGAAATGGTGAAATAACTCATTTGCATTGTAATATTATTAATTCAATCATCATGGTACATCTTAACATCGATATATTTGATATACAACTCTTGGTTATTTCACATTGTCTTGACTAAAAATTTTGATTGTAACTATGTAACATCTAGGCCTTGTGCCCGATGCTTTAGCTAAATGGAGCCTCGCTAATGTCTATGATGGGTTCCAAAGTGCCATTTCGTTTGACTGCATCCAATACGGACACTAGAGATGGATGCTTTTGCAGCTTAATGATTCCCCATTGGAAGGTTCAACAAAGGAAAAAGGAAATGAAAGGAAGTGACTTTGTTATTATGAGCAAAGAAGAGATTCCGTGAAGGATCTAGTTTTATGTTCGTCAACCAAGAAATCGATGAATCAGTCTGTGCGCATTCGAGGAGATAAAATTCTTTAGTATGTGTACCGTCCATTTCGTGCAGAGAATGCCTACTACTTGCTCTCGTAAAAAAGCTGTAATAAAGGCCATGGTTCTTGTCAAACAAGCCAAAGATGCTTTCGTTTCAACGTTGAATAGAACAACGCATCGTATATTAAAGCACTAAACCCATGAGACCTCTACGTCTAAGCTGAAACTCAGAGATAGAGACACCCAGAGAGAGAGAGAGAGAGAGAGAGAGCGAGAGAGATGGCAGAAGAAGTGGTTCTTCACGGAAAGTGGGCTAGTCTGTTCAGCAAGAGGGTGGAGCTAGCTCTGAAAGTGAAAGGAATCGAGTATGAGTTCGTGGAAGAAGATTTGACGAACAAGAGTGAAGCACTCTTGCGGTTCAATCCTGTTCACAAGAAAGTTGTAAGTTTTTAAAGATGAAAAAAAACAGAGGATTGAAGTGCTGAAGAAGAAAAGAAGTATACGGATATGCAGCCAACCAGGAAAACTGCATCTGTTTGATTTCTCAATCTTAAATTTAAAGTTGAAAACAAACTGAAAGTGAGAGAATCGTGGATGAAAATCCCAACAACATATCTAACTACTTCCTAAAGACTAGGATAACATGATTTTATTAACTGAAACAAACTAAAGAAAAGGAAACGTATTCAAAGAACACGTGCAGTACTGAAGCAATTTTATAACACTCCTCCTTGCTTTAGGTGCTGCAAATCCCGAGCTTCTTCCTTAGATCTTCAAATTTGCTTACAGGCAATGGCTTCGTGAAAATATCTGCCAACTGATTTTCTGATTTGCAGTAAACAAGTGCAATTTCGCCTTCTTTTTGCACTTCCCTTAGAAAGAAAAACTTGATTTTGAAATGCTTAGTCTTCCCATGAAAAACTGGATTGTGAGAAATTGCAATTGCTGCCTGATTATCAACAAGAATTTCCGTGTTGTTCCACTGCTTCAGGTTCAAATCACATAAAATTTTTCTTAGCCAAATTGCCTGATTAACTGCTGATGTGGCTGCTATGAACTCAACTTCTGTTGTGGATTGTGCTACAACTTCCTGCTTCTTAGAGCACCATGAGAAAATTCCCCAGCCAAGACTAAAACAATAACCAGAGGTGCTTTTCATATCATCCACCGAACCTCCCCAATCACTGTCAAAAAATCCCAACAGCTTGAAATCTTGGCTTTTCTTAAACTTCACACCAAATTCAATTGCTCCTTTAATGTATCTCACTACTCTTTTTGCGGCTTTTAAGTGCATTTCAGTAGCACAATGCATAAAACGAGATAAGAGACTTACAAAAAATAAAATGTCTGGTCTTGATGCCGTGAGATACATTAGACAACCAATCAGACTTCGAAAGTAACCCTCTTCAACTCTGTCACTCCCGTCCTCTTTGCTCAAGCTCTCCTTTTGATTCATTGGAGTGGCCATTGCCTTGCAATCCTCCATACGAAACTTCTTGAGAATTTCCTTGGCATACTTCTTTTGACAGATGAAAACTTCATCTTCCAACTGCTTAATCTCCATTCCCAGAAACTATGTCATTAGTCCAAGGTCTGTCATTTCAAAGATTTGCATCATTTCTATTTTGAACTCTTCAACAAGCTTGGCATTACCACTTGTGATTAAGAGATCATCAACATAAAGAGAGACTATAAGCAAATCATCTCCCTTATGTTTCACATAAAGAATAGTCTCTGACATGCTTTTTTCAAATCCGAGGCTTGACAGATGCTCATCTATCTTGCTATACCATGCTCTAGGTGCTTGTTTCAAGCCGTATAGAGCCTTCTTGAGCAAGTAGACCTTCTCCTCTTCACCTTGTTCCCCGAATCCCTCGGGCTGTTCAACATAGATCTCCTCTTGCAAAATACCATTCAAGAATGCAGATTTTACATCTAGTTGAAACACCTTCCAACCCTTTTGAGCTGCAACTGCTAGCAAGAGTCTTATGGTGTCTAATCTAGCCACGGGTGCAAAGGTGTCTGAATAATCAACACCAAAAATTTGTGCATAACCCTTAACTACAAGTCTAGCCTTGTACTTGTTGATGGAACCATCTGCATTTAACTTGGTTCTGAACACCCACTTTACTCCAATAACCTTTCTACCCTTCGATTTGTCGACAAGCTCCCAAGTCTTATTTTTTTTTATCATCGATAACTCCTCTTCCATTGCCTTCTTCCAGTTCTGGTCTTTAATAGCTTCTTCATACCCTGCAAGTTCACAAATGGCCACATTGCATCTCTGATAGATATCATAGAGCAGTCTTGTTCCATGGATTGGTGGATCATCTTCCAACTCTTCTTGCCACTGTTCTGTTGCTCGATCTTCTATTGTTTGGAAGGGAAGACTTGATTTCTGCTTGCTCGTGGATGTCTCTTGTGTCTGTTTCCAGTTCCACTTCTCATCTTCATTAAAGAACACATCTCTACTGACAATTATCTTCCCTGTTTGAGGTTGATACACCTTGTAGGCCTTGGAGGAAGAACTGTAACCCACGAAGATGCCCGGTTCTGACTTCTTGTCAAGTTTATCATGCTTGACCTATGGAACGTGAGAGAAACACATACAACCGAACTCTCTAAGGAAATTGAGTGAAGGTTTATAGCCATACCATGCCTTGAATGGAGTTTTGTCCTCTAATGCCTTGGTAGGCAATCTATTCTGCAAGAAAACCGCAGTGCTTGCTGCCTTAGCCCAGGAATTCTTTGGCAACTCCTTGTCATGAAGCATGCATCGAGTCATTTCCATTATGTATCTGTTTCTCCGCTCACTGACTCCATTCTGCTGTGGAGTGTAGGGAGCAGTGAGTTGGTGCTCGATGCCAGATTCTTCGCAGAACTTGTTAAACTGCTCTGAAGTATACTCTTTTCCATTGTCAGACCTAATGCATTGAATGTTGCTACCACTCTGCTTCTCCACCATTTTCTTGAACTTCCAGAACGTGCCAGCCACTTCTGATTTATGCTTCATGAAAAAAATCCAACACATTCTACTGAAATCATCTATGAAAATAACGTAGTACCAATTACCTGCGAGTGATTGAGTTCTTTGAGGACCAGCAACATCTGTGTGGATTAGTTGCAACTTGTGAGAGGCTCTCCAAATTGACTTAGGAAATGGATTTCTATTTTGTTTACCGAATTGACAGGCATGACAATTCGATAAATGGTCTGCAAAGACTAGTAAACCATTTGACAACTCCTTTTTTTTCATCAGCAACATTCTTGAAAGGTGACAATGGCCTAGTCTTTTGTGCCAGGTCTCAGTCACATTCTCCTCCATGGAATAAGCAGCTTTCTCCTCCTTGGTTGGTTCAAATGAGAAGCTCTTGCATTTCATTTTTGCTTTGACGATTTCCTTTCCATTTGCATCTTGTATGAGGCAAAGTTTATCTTCAAAAAACACCATGAATCCTTTTTCAATGAGCTGACCAACACTCAACAAATTTTGGTCAATATCAGGTACAAAGAGAACATCCGAAATTGACTTTGTACGTGAATTTGTTGAGATGACAATGGTTCCCTTTCCCTTCACCGGAATATGGTTACCATTTCCTATTCTGACCTTTGTGATTGCCGTGGGCTTCAACTCTTTGAAAAGACTTCAATTGTGAGTCATGTGGTTTGTACAACCACTATCTATCAGCCAACTCACATTTGATTCTCTACTTGAGAAGCAAGTGGCTACAAACAATTGATCCTCCTCTTCTTGATCTGCAACTTGAGCATCTGCTTCCTGCACCTGATTTTTATTCCTGCATATCACTGCCTCATGTCCGAGCTGATTGCATTTGGAACATTTGGCGTCAGGTCTCCTCCAACATTTGAATGGAGGGTAACCTTTCTTCCCACAGTGATGGCAAGGAGGGTATTTACCCTTGAAATTTCCATTTCTGCTTTTGTTGCTACTCGAAGCAGGTAAGACCGAATTTCCCTCTTGGCTTTTCTTCTTTTTCTTCTTGTTTTCGTCAGCTTCATGATGTTTTGCAGGTAAGGCTCCTTCAAGTTCACCTTCCTGCCTCATAGCTCTTCTTTGTTCCTGCGCTTGTAAAGCATTCAACAGTTCTGCTAGAGTGATTTTTGACATACCCTTAGTGTTTTCTAAGGATGTAATCGTGGCCTCAAATTTTTCAGGCATCGTTACAAGGATTTTTTCAACAATCCTTGATTCTGGCAGAGAAGAGCCGAGTAGTTTGACTCGGCTTGCAATGTTAAGCAATCTGTCAAAATACTCTTTTATGGATTCAGTCTGCTTCATCTTCTGCAACTCAAAGTCACGTACCAGATTCAGCACTTGCATCCCTCAGATCCTTTCGTCTCCTTCGTATTCGGTCTTGAGATAATCCCATATCTCATTTGCTGACTTCAAAGACATGATACGAGTGAAGATGGTGGATGAGACTGCAGCAAACAAGCAGGCCTTTGCCTTTGATTTCTTCATCTTCTTCTCCTTCTGCGCTTTGATCTGTGCCACAGTGGGATTGTTTGGAAGAGTAGGAATTTCATAGTCTTCTTCCACTGCTTCCCAAAGATCCAAGGCATCCAAGTATGTCTCTATGCGTACTACCCAAATCTGGTAGTTGTCTCCATCGAACACCGGCGAAGCAATTGATGAGAAACTGGCTTCGGCTTCCATGACGCGTCAAACTCACACACAGATCCCTCAAGAAGAGTGCTCTGATACCAATTTGTAAGTTTTTAAAGAAAAAAAAACAGAGGATTGAAGTGCTGAAGAAGAAAAGAAGTATACGGATATGCAGCCATCAAGGAAAACTGCATCTGTTTGATTTCTCAATCTTAAATTTAAAGTTGAAAACAAACTGAAAGTGAGAGAATCGTGGATGAAAATCCCAACAACATATCTAACTACTTCCTAAAGACTAGGATAACATGATTTTATTAACTGAAACAAATTAAAGAAAAAGAAACGTATTCAAAGAACACGTGCAGTACTGAAGCAATTTTATAACAAAAGTCCCTGTTCTTGCTCACAACGGCAAGTCCATTGCCGAGTCACCTGTCATTATCGAGAACATCGACGAGACTTGGAAGGAGGGTCCTCGGCTCTTGCCCCAAGATCCATATGAAAGAGCCAAAATTCGCTTCTGGGCTGGCTTTCTCCACCAGCAGGTCAGTGCAAATTTTCCAGCAAAATGTGTGATGAAAATTCTCAACGCGTACATTATCATTTCTTGCATTACTCCATCGTCACAGGACAGACAGATTATGCCTTTTCATTCACAGCTTTACATGATTTACCATCTTGTTTATCAATCAGCGAGTGCACTTGTTCGTAGTGATGATCTTGACTGGCAAAATTATGCAGTAAATACATGCAAATAATTAAAAGACATGGAGTAGGAAATGAGGACAAGTTGTCATTGTTCCCAATAAAATCTCAAGAACGGGTGTCCGTGACCAAGGGAGCTTTTATATGACAGCGATGATAAAGATGACACTCTTACAATAGTCGTATCAACCTGCTGTTGTTTTAATTTGCTATTACCTTGAGATAGGTAAGCTGCTGCCTAATTGTTATTCATCGTGCATGAGAAATTCTCAAAATTTTAACAGGAGCATTTGCCATGATGAAAGATTTTCTCTTTGCAAAATAGACAGGTTAAAACAAAGTTAAGATCAAACTAGAGTTCGAGCAAGTTTATGATTGGAAGTTGTCAACTGCAGTTGTTTGAGGCCATGTTCTCTGTGCTCAAAACTGATTACGAAGCGCAAGAGAGAGCTGTCAAGGAAGTGCACGAGAAAATGAAGGTGTTCGAAGAGGGTATCAAGTGCAGTTATCCCGGGGGATCACCAATTATCAACGGTGACAACGTGGGACTCCTGGACATTGTTGTCTGTTCAATATTGGGTGCTCATAAAGCTCAGGAAGAAATACTCCGTGTAAAATTTCTGGACCAAGAGAAGTATCCGAGGGTGACCTCTAGGGTGAAAGCTCTAACCGAGTTGCCATCGGTGAAAGAGGCAATGCGTCCTCATGAGAAGCTGGTGGGCGTTCTTCAGTTAAAAAGGGCTAGGGCTCTTGAATCTGCAACAGCTTGATGCTTATAAGGGTCTCCTTGATAATAAGGCGGGAACTTCGTCTGTCGCGCTCACATGTTATATTTGATTGCACTTCTATGTGATCTGCATATACTTGTGGAATAAGCTACCGCCCAATAAAGTTTTACTTTGAATGTTCCGTTATATTTCAGTCTCTCTATAAATACTTCTACTGCGATAACACTGAACTAGCCATTTGTTCCATCCTTCCGTGATATATTGCGTAGCTATTGATCACCGATTCTACTAGCTGCATAGAAAACTGACTGCCTGCAACTTGCAACCTCGCTGAACACGACGAAGGATCTAACTCTGCAAGAAGATCATCACATGCTTTCGCCAATCTTTGCCGTGTTGTAAGACATATTGTTTGGACCGCCCAAGATGGGCCAAACCCGGCCCGTGAGCCACAAGGGCCCATGAGGTAGTTATTTGTCTATCTATAATAGAAGGCACCCCTTGGAAAACAGACGTGATTTTCCATATATGCACACTCTTTTGATACAACGTATTCTCTGCTTTTGCTTCGGAACGCACGCGAGTACGAAAGACATTCGAAGAACTCTCAAGCGCAAAGTGGCACTTAATCTGTGACAATACCGGGTATGTTCGTTGTGTGATATACCTGTACGATCGGTGATACAAGTTGATGGTCCTCGGGCACGTTTTCCGCATTGATCGAATTCGTTCCGAATATGTTTCGAACGCAATGATCGGGGATTGAGTTTTCCCAACATTGGTATCAGAGCCCGTTTACTTGTTTCCCGATCATGCATATGTATCGTCTGAAGTGTATACTGCTTGTTTTTCCGTTTTGGCCTCGTTTTTGCTCGTTTTTTTCGCGTCGCCGAACTATTCATGCATGTTTCGATTTTTGTTTTTCGTCAAAACTTAAATTTTATTGCATAAACAGAAAGTACTCGTCGAGACGAGCAAAATGATGGGCGGCGCGTCGCCGGAGGACGCTGCACGCGCTCTCACGCGCCTACAAGTGCCGCGGGCGCGACGGCGCGTGAGGCCCACGCGCGGCCGTGAGAAACGGCGCGTCGATTGCCGCCCAACCGCCGACGTGACGTCAGCGTGACGTCATCCGGACCGACCCGGTTGACCGTTGCCCGACCCGTTGACCCGACCAGTTGACTGTTGACTCGACCCGTTGACTCGACCCGGTTGACCGTTAACCGACCCGGTTGACCGTTGACCGGTCAACGGTCGGACCGGTCGAACCGGACCGGTTCAAACCGGCAGAATGACTCCGTTATTTCTTTCGGCCGTTCGAGCTCATTTGAACTCCGATTTGGGCGTTCTTGGTATCGATGTGCTCGTATCGGAATGCTCTACGTTATGGTGTATTCATATTACATTTTTACTGCACTTATGAATGTGAAAATGCAAGATAAACCCTATGTACACGTACTTAGGGGTATATGAATAAGCATGTGAAGTAATCCTTCGTGGATTATAAGTAATCCTTCTCTAGTATTTCTCTATAGTTTTTTGAAATACAAGTGCTAGATCATATGTATATGAATAAGCATTCCTTATCTTAATGTATCATGGATTATGAGTAATCCTTCGTTCTGCATTCGTTGCAGGAACAATGGTACATTTGAGACGCACTCCGATAATCCCAAGAACGGCAGCTCAAAAGGAGAAGCTTGAAAACCTAAGAGTCAAGCTAGCTCTTTATCGATGGGACGCTAAAGATGATATGATGACACACATCATCAAGGTCAACAAAATGATACAGGATATCATTTGGAACGGTTTTGTAATGCCGGAATATGTAATGGTCGGAGCCCTAAAATGCACTATGCCTAATGAGTTGGGAAGAATGCTTGATAAGGTTAAAGAAACCTTAAATGGTCCAAGCTATAAGATGCTTGTGGAGAATTTTGTGCAAGAATACATAAGGGTTGGGGCAAGAAGAACATCAACCCTTGCATTGAATGGGTCTCGGCGCAAATCATGGCCCGGATCTAGGGGTTTTCCGGGAGCCTCCTTTTATGTTCCGAAGAAAATAAAACTTTCTAAAGAATTTTATGAGTCATTTTCTGTCTATGTGTTGGATTGGTACACTTGATATTGTTCTTTTAGGATTTGGAATCAATTCTGTATATGTTTCAAGTTGATATTACATGTTCTTAAATATTTGTGAATGTGTTATGAAATATATATATGGCTATGAATTTTTGTGATCTCTCATTTTATATTGCCATATTATGTGTTATGTTATATGTGGGAAGTTCTTAAAAGTTTGAATAACTTTTGAAGAACCAATTTCTTTACATAAATGATTATGTTAATGGTAATTTCAAATTGGGTTTTTTAGACGATGATTGGGAACATAGTGAACTTTCGACTCTAAGACCTTTTGTGAAACTATTCATTAATATGATTAGTTTATGTAATCATGATGCTAATGAAGCATTTAGATAGGCTTTAATAATTCGTGCATATGTGTCTGAAATGTTCAGATACGATGGCTTCAGCAACTAAGAACATAGTGGCTGAACTTAATAAGGGAGAAAAATTGAATGGCGACAATTATGAGATTTGGAGTCTCAAGATTCAATATGTGCTGGAAGAGCAAGAGGCACTCGAAGCTCTTAACCAGATTATGGAAGAACCTGAGGATGGGACAACTGCCCAACACAAAAGGGACAAAGATGCCTTTGATGTTTGGAAAAGAAAGAACTCCCTTGCTCGCATTACGTTGCTAAGCAGCATGGACAATGACATCATGCGAGAGTTCGGACGTTTCCAGAACGCCAAAGACATGTGGGCTACATTGGCATCAAGATTTGGTCGAACTTCTGTGACCAAACTGAGACAACTCACTATCCGTTTCGACTCATACAAGATGTCTCATGGAAAGACCATGAAACAACATTTGAGGCAGATGTCGAATATGATTAGTGAGCTAAAGGATGCCGGGCACATACTCACTGATGAACAGCAGGTGCAGGCAGTAATCCGCTCTTTGCCTCAAAGATGGGAGCACATGAAGATCCATTTGACCCACAATGAGGGTATCAAGACCTTCGAGGATGCTATGCGGCATCTTGAGCTGGAAGAGGATCGCCTCATGGCGGCTAAGCCAGAAACTGATATTTACTTTGCTGGTTCTAGCTCGCATGGAGTTTCGGGCTCCAAGAGGAAGCACCCTGCTGGGTCAAAGAAGTGGAAAGGCAAGGGGCCAAGTCCTTCAGGGAAGAAGCCGAGGCTCAACCAACGGGAGAAAGGAAAGCGTCCTTTCAAGAAGAACATTTCAAGAGTGAAATGTTTCAACTGTGACAAGAAGGGTCACTTTGCTCGCGACTGTGGCGAGCCAAAGAAGGTAGAAACACTTAGCATTCATGAAAATGCTACTTATGTGTCTAGTTCGGTGTTTCTAATCGAATCTAATCCTTTGTGGAATTTGTAGACTCCGGGAGCCACGAGACCATGTAGCGAAGGACGAGATGAGCTTTTCGTGGTAGGTTCCAACGAGTTCCACAAGGAACGAAGTGGATATACGTGGGGAACAATTCAAGAGTGGAGGTCAGAGGCATTGGCACCTGTCAACTACTTATGCGCGGTGGACGCACATTGTTCCTACATGATGTGCTATTTGCTCCAGAGATTCGTCGGAACTTAGTTTCAGTGTTGGTTTTAGTTAGACTTTGTTTTAATGTAAACTTCCATAACAATGGTGTAGACTTGCCTTTAGGTACAAGTTATTATGGTTCCGGATATTTCTTATATGGTTTCGTTGTATTAGATGTTGACTATTGTGAAGTTAATGTTAGTTATTCCTTATTTACATCATCTGATTCTTATGAGAATGATGTGAACGTGTGGCATGCTAGTCTTGGTCATATTGGCCAACAAAGAATGAATAGATTGGCTAAAGATGGCTTATTGGGCAATATTAAAAAGGTTGATTTGCCCATATGTGAGCATTGCCTAGAAGGAAAAACAACACGGAAACCATTTGGAAAAGGAACAAGAGCTGAATTTCTTTGCAATTAATCCATACCGACATCCGTGGTCCAATGAATGTAAAAACAAGGCACGGGTCTGTTTATTTCATCACATTCATTGATGATTATACTCGATTCGGACATGTCGATTTGATTTCTCATAAGTCCGAAGCTTTAAATTGCTTTAAAAGATTTATGACCTTAGTGGAAAATCAATTAGACAAGAAAATAAAAGCATTAAGATCCGATCGAGGTCGAGAATATCTATCTGATCAGTTCAGAATTTTATGTGATGAAAAGGGAATAGAAAGACAACTGACTATTCCATATACTCCACAACAAAATGGTGTTGCGGAAAGGAGAAACAGAACCTTAATGGAAATGGTTAGATCAATGATGACACAAGCTAACTTGCCCATCACCTTTTGGGGTGATGCTTTGTTGATTGCTGCCTACATACTTAACCGTGTGCCTTCTAAATCAGTTGCTTCTACTCCATATGAGTTATGGACAGGCAGAAAGCCTGATTTAAGCTTTCTAAAACCTTGGGGTTGTGCTGCCTATACTCGTGAGTCTTCTCACAAGTATGGAAAATTAGGCCCAAGAGGCAAAAAGAGTATTTTTATAAGATACTCAGAGCACTCAAAAGGATATGTATTCATAAGTGAGCAAGAAAGCGGAAGTATAACTGAATTTGAATCACGGGATGTCACATTCTTAGATAATGAATTTCCTAAAAAGGGCGAAGTAGGTGGTGATTACTCACTATACGAATCTGTGGATCGTGATAGTGAAGTTAGTGGGAGCATTGTGACAAATGGAGAGTTGAATGCAACCCAGTCTCAATTGCAACCACTTAAAGAGACGACACCACCATTATCTCATTCGAGTGGGAGCGCAATGGAACGTGGTGAATCATCAGGAGTACAGCATTCCATACGACAGTCAAGTCGTAATAGGATTCCCCGTCGACGTTTTGACATTGAAGGAGAAGCTTTCATGATCGCCCCACAAGATGAAGATGAGCCGAACAATGTGAACGATGCTCTAAAGTGCCCTGATAAGGAAGAATGGATACATGCAATGGAAGAGGAAATGGAGTCATTAAGATCAAACCAAGTTTGGGAATTGGTTGACCTTCCAAAAGGACGCAAAGCCATTGGGAACAAGTGGGTTCTCAAAATAAAGCGTAAGGCTGATGGCTCAATAGAGAGGTATAAGGCTCGCCTTGTGGCGAAAGGATATAATCAACAGGAAGGAGTTGACTTTGAAGAAACTTTTTCTCCTGTGATTAGATTTACCTCTATTCGCCTTATTCTGGCAATAGTAGCTAGTATGGATCTGGAATTACATCAAATGGATGTAAAGACTGCATTCCTCAATGGAGAATTAGAGGAAGAAATTTATATAGAATAACCTGTTGGTTTCATTACAAAAGGCCAAGAGCACAAAGTGTGTCGACTATTGAGGTCGATATATAGCCTTAAACAGTCTTCGAGACAATGGTATATACGTTTTCACAATGCCATAATGGCATATGATTTTGTAATGATTAGTGAAGACAATTGTGTATATATCAAAAGATCCAAAGATCAATTTGTGATCTTGTCATTATATGTTGATGATATACTAATTGCCGGAAGCAGTATGGAGTTGGTTAATACAGTCAAGAATTGGTTATCTTCCAATTTTGAGATGAAAGATATGGGTGAAGCTGCATACATTCTTGGAGTTAAGATTTCAAGAGATCGCTCAAAGAAATCCCTATCCCTTTCACAAGAGACGTATGTGAATAAAATCCTTGAGCGATTTCGTATGCAAGACTGTAAACTAATAGATACTCCTATTGCAAAGGGCGAAGCATTAAGCGACAGAATGTGTCCTGAGACTTCACAAGAAAAGGAGCAAATGGAACAAGTTCCATATGCTAGTGCTATCGGAAGCTTGATGTACGCTATGATGTGTACAAGACCTGATATTTGTTATGCAATTGGAATGGTAAGTAGATACCAATCTAATCCAGGTCAAGCACATTGAATCGCCGTCAAAAGAATCCTGAGATATCTAAATGGAAGTGCCGACTATGCGCTGACTTATCAAGGAAGTGATCTACACCTTGAAGGCTATACTGATGCTGACTGGGGAGGAGATTTAAAAGAAAGGAAATCTACTTCTGGATACGTGTTCTTACTGAATAATGGCGCCATATCTTGGAGCAGTAAGAAGCAACAGTGTGTAGCCTTATCTACAATGGAAGCCGAGTTCATGGCTCTATCAGCAGCGGCACAAGAAGCTGTTTGGCTTAGAAGATTTTTGGATCACTTAGGTGTTACTGAGAATGCTGCAAACCCAGTATTGGTCTATTGTGATAGCCAAGCAGCAATAGCGTACACTAAGGATCCCAAGTACCATGGAAAGACCAAACATATAGATATCAAGTATAACTATGTCAAGGACATGGTTGCACGAAAGGAAGTGAACGTGAAGTACATATCTACACAAAGGATGATAGCAGATCCTATGACGAAGCCGATTCCTAGAGAAGTTTTCCATGGTCATGTGAGATATCTAGGACTGTGTAGAATATGATGTACTGAATATTGTAATTTTCCCAGAATGTTCACTATTAATGAAGTTTGTTATTATCAAAGCCTATAAGTTTGTATGACGTTTGTGAATGTCGATGCTGAGTGCATTATATTGAAAAGGTATGTCGGACAGATGAGAGATTAGCCCACTCACACGGGTAATCGCCTCTACTCACTGTGTGATGAATAGAGATGAGACAGTTTTAAGCATGTTATCTAGGTGATAATTGAGAGCTCAAGCTTGAAGCATGGACGTCGCCTTAACAGAATGTTAAGATGAGAACATATAGATTATTATGTCCGAAAGTGAAATGACCCACATATTTCACTTTACCTGTCTTTAATGCCAGATGTGAGTTCTGATAGATGCTTATGAATAGAGTAGATTTGTGAACTCAAGTTAGACATTGAGTATGTCTAAACTATCATCTGTACGGTATTGAGAGTAAAGACATACGATCTATGGCAAAAGGAGAGAATACCGTAATACGTATTTCATATTACGTATGCATGGGACGACCGATAAGAGTTGACAAAAAGTTATGATCTCAACTTTTAAGTCGTGTGAGACTCTTGAGGAAAATAGTTTTTCTCAATTAAAGTGCCCTCACGACTCTTACTTATTCTCAAAATTTCTATTCAGTGTTTGCTATCTTAGGATGTTGCCGATGATCATGATAATTCGGTCTAACGGGGCATTTCTAGAAAAGCGAGTTGGACTGAAATGGAGAGGTTTAAGGAAAGAGGAAGATCAATTTAATTTATGATGTCACATTCTATATTTGTATTCACAGGTCGACCAATTATGATTTTGAGTAAATCATAGTTGTGAATACAATATACGAGATACTAAAAGAGATTAAAAGATATGAAAATTGTGACTGATTGATCTAGGGAACTTCATACTAATTCTACTCTGGATAATGCCCAATTTGAGCTGTTATATATTCCTAACAGATGTATAACAACGAGCTCTCGGAGTATGCTGGTCGCACGGATTATTTGCCAATATGAACTTTGCAAGGAAGAGAGTTGTGTTTAGCCCATCGTGGGCGAGTGGGAGATGTAAGACATATTGGGTGGACCGCCCAAGATGGGCCAAACCCGGCCCGTGAGCCACAAGGGCCCATGAGGTAGTTATTTGTCTATCTATAATAGAAGGCACCCCTTGGAAAACAGACGTGATTTTCCATATATGCAAACACACTCTTTTGATACAACGTATTCTCTGCTTTTGCTTCGGAACGCACGCGAGTACGAAAGACATTCGAAGAACTCTCAAGCGCAAAGTGGCACTTAATCTGTGACAATACCAGGTATGTTCGTTGTGTGATATACCTGTACGATCGGTGATACAAGTTGATGGTCCTCGGGCACGTTTTCCGCATTGATCGAATTCGTTCCGAATATGTTTCGAACGCAATGATCGGGGATTGAGTTTTCCTAACAGGTGTAAATACCCAACATTTCTGATAACCATGTTTGGCCGTCAACTCCAACAATACAATTTCTTTTTCCCTCTTTGAACAATACAGCCCATTGCTGCTGGGAAAAGATTCTGCTTGAAGTCAGCTGAACTGAACTGATTGAAGTCAATTTAGAGAGAGGAACAAGTAACGGAGAGAGAGGATAGAGGAAATCTCAAAATTTCTACAAGGTGGGCCCGGCTCGACATATGTCAGTGCTCTGGATGGACTATCTTAAATATGACGTGGCTCAACAGTTGTACCCAATATTTTCTCGATAATCCATGGGCTCTCCAATAGGTAGATTTGACAATATATCTGCCATGTTATTTTCTAAAAATTTTGAAATCATGCATTTACATTGTTTTACTCTGTCGTAAGGCTCTCAACCACATTAAAATTATCAATTCAATCATCATGGTATATCGGAATATCGATATGTTTGATATACAGCCCATAGTAATTTACATGTTGTGAACCGAATATGATTGTAATTCTGTAAGATCATGACCTCGTGCCTAATCTTTAGCTAAATGGAGCGTTGCTAATGTCTATGATGTGTTCCAAAATGCCGTTTCGTTTGACTACATTCAACATGGACACTTGAGACATATGTTTTTCAGATTAATGATCCCCCACCGGCAGGTTCAGCAAAGAAAGAAAGAAAAAGAAAGGGAAGTGACTTTGTTATCATAACATAGAAGAGATTCAAAAAAAGATATATTTTTCAGTTCATCAATCAAGAAGATGAATTCCAACGGACATGTGACCTTAATGATAAAAGGATTGGGGATAGAGCTGGAGAGTACTAGATCCGGATTCGATTCTTGTGAGCATCGCACAAACATGTACATAAAATAGATGAGTGAAGACCTAAAAAAAAAAACCAAGAAAATGAATCCATCAATCCGGATATGCATTCAAGGAGGAGAACCTGACACGATGCAAATTTCTTAGTCGAATTGTACAAAACATTTTTCTTTTTTTGGTAACCCAGGGAACTCCCGCACGGCCGACGGCGGAGGCAAACCACAGGCGACACGCTTGCCCACCACACACGCTGCACCCGCTTGTGCAGGTTAAGTCTGCCTGCGACGCCCGGATTCGAACACTCAACTCATTTGCGAGAGGAAGAGTGCTCTTTCAAAGAGCCAAGCCACCGAGGCGGGTGGTAAACATTTTTGTTTGAACAGCAATCTAAAAAAAAAGGAAAGGCGAGCGTGCTTGAAAGAACCAGAAGACAAGAAAGACCGACATACTCGCGTACAGCATGTCCAGTTAATTAGCTTGTAAGTTGAACAGGAACCTCTGTATGAACTCCCTTGAACGAGATTAACAGCACAAACGCTCGATCGATGGCACGTGCTCGTATAATTTTATTTTATTTTTCAGTCCGTCGACTGTAGATGGTCGAAGAAAACCGAGCCAAAATTACAGATTATCGTTAAAGAATCGAGATCCACCGTCCACCCAAAAGAGGAAAAGGAAGAAGGGGAGTGATATTTCTCGCAACGTCCTAAAGATCTGGGTGTTCGGTTGACTTCTTGGCTCTGGTTAGCTGCTGTTCAGGCGACTCCAATTCATCCAATTTGGCATCTTTCTTCCTCAAATCCCAGTTCTTCCCAACACCCGCCTCTGAGGATTCTGTCCTTGTCGCACCCACCACAAGATAATGGCTTCTTCCGCCGCAGCGTTTTGCGTTTCCTCGCCATCTTCTCTTGCGCTCGCTCACTGGAAGACCCGTAAAGCTCTTTGCTTTGTGAAACAAGCCGTGTCAATTAAGGCCCTTTCGGCTTCTGTGGATTATTCCGCCGTCTCGGTTGCTGATAAGCCCTCGAGCTCATCAAGGGTACGTGCGCTTCTACCAGTCCTACAGTTCACCTTGTTTGTTGAATGGTTGAATTTTGCTAAGCTAATTGGGTGGGGGGCGGTTGAAACAACTGATGGATGGTGATGGGATTTTCGATTCGAGTGTTAATTTGCTGGATGGTGATGGGTTTTTCGATTCAAGTGTTATTTACCCATGAAAGATTTGCTCTCTCTTGTAAGTTTTGTGAAAATTTGAAGAATTACAAATAGAAAATGTAGAAAACAAGAGCTTGAGGCGTGCAAGCATTGTCCTCGAGGATAAATTCTGCCATTCATAAAGTGGAGAAGGCATGTTGCGGCAATCCTCCAGGATACAACAGACTGTCTAAACAGGGCAATATAGGAACATGATTCTTTCGATACAGCAAGTCTCTTTCTCTCTGTATCACTCTCCCTCTCTAAACACTTGTGCTTACATTCAAAACCTTGCGACCTTGTGCTTTTCTTAAATACATTCTTTTTCTTAGAGAAGTACATCAAACACATTAACATACATCTATGGGAGTCCATGACCTAGTATAGATTGCCTCTCGTTGGTTCAAGTTGCCGCCGAAGACCACTTCATTGCATTTGATGCGAGCTGGCTTCTCAAGTCAACATAGTTTTTGGACTTGGCTACTTCTTGCTTCCTTGTGTAGAAATTTCCAGCTTGCTCATGTACTTGCCACTGTCTCAAATTTGCTTCGTAAAGAAGCAAATGTTTCGGACTTTGTTCATGGTCCATTTGCTTGACTTCCACTGCCAAAGGCTCTTCACCGAAGTTCTTTTTTCAATGTTGCTTTAAACTCTTAGAATTCAGTAAAGTGAGAATGTAAGCCTTTTGAAATACTTATTTTATACAACAGTAGGTTTAGTGCAATTCTCCTTGATAATTGGTGTTGGCGATTCATCTCTGATCTAGGTTTCTCAAATGTAAACTTGTCTCCCTCTTGATGGAGATTTTTATCACACTCATGTTTTAGCTGCTTAGCTTGTATTGTTGGGCAAAGATAGCTTGTACGACAGAATTAAATAAAAGTGAAGTAGCATTTTATTGGTGATTTTTTGTGGTTGTGCAACAGATTGGCTGATAGACTAACTAAATTTGCCTGACGTAGAGGCTAGCAGACTGGCTGATATTGACTCGCCAAATTTGCCTGACGAAGAGGCGAGCAGACTGGCTGATCTTGACTTATATTGTAGGGTTAGGTGGTCCTGCATTTCAACTCAATTATTAATTGGTGGGCAACATGTTATGCAAAATCTGGGTGTTTCGTGATTTTCATGTTACCTAACGTAGTACATGATTGTGACTAAAAATATGTGGACATCAGCTATTTATTGTTTGCAATTTATCTGATCAATCTAAATCTGATTTCAGTCCAACAATTGGCTATGGAAGTTCAAGGACAATGATATCAACATCCACTACGAAAAGCATGAAAGTGAAAGCTTTGATGATTCTAAAGATATTCTCATGGTGCCAACAGTATCTGATGTGAGTACTGTAGAGGAGTGGAGGCTAGTGGCCAAAGATATAGTCGAACGAGTTGGTAAAGTTAATTGGCACGCTACTATCGTGGATTGGCCCGGTCTGGGCTACTCTGATCGGTTAAAGATGGATTATGATGCGGATGTCATGGAGAAATTCCTGGTTGATTTTATAAATGCGCCTGATGGCCCTCTAAGTCACTCAGGTAGTGCATTCCAAGTAAAATACATGTAAATGAGTACATTTACTTCACTGAAGCTTCCATTTGAAACTTTTTCGACTACATACACCATAGTGTGGTGGTGATAAAGCATTTTTAACAGTTAAAATCCTACAATGTCAAGGCTTCTAACAAGGCATCATGTTCTTGTACAATCAAGCAAACAAGGTGATTGACATATGGCTATATGTTCTGTAGAAGTGTCAGTGATTTTCTCTATGAGGGTCAGAGAATATTAAAGGTGTAGGACAGACAAAATTTTATTTATTCTCATGTATTTCTTCTCAATATAGTAAAAGAGGTTGGTATATGCAGCCATTAGGCTGCTCAAAGATCAAACGTTTAGTCTCGCTTGTTCTGTACGAGGATAAGCAATTTGAGCTCAATAGTTTCAACCCTGCTCACAACTATCTTAAAGTTCCGGTCGTCTTTAATTACTTACTGGTTTATTTTGTCTGCTGCTCTGTTTAAAGCTTTTATCTTCTAATAGAGCCTGTTTGTCTCTCAAGTTGTATGGATTATACTCTTGATAACTCTCTTATGTTAATACCAGGAAATGATTTGGTGGTTTTTGGAGGAGGGCATGCCGCCACAATCATAGCTCGTGCTGTGAAAAAGGGTTTGGTGAAGCCAAGAGCCATTGCTGCTGTTGCTCCGACATGGGCTGGTCCTCTCCCTATAGTGTTTGGCCGAGACTCCAACATGGAAACAAGGTACCTTTGGGCTTCTTTTGTTTCCTTTTATAATTTCAATTTCCAGGTAGGAGTTGTTTTCTAACAGTTTGAAAAGGGAGAGGCTAAGTGCATGCTTGTTTACTTGGTGATGTAGTGTAGCAAGTTGCTGATAAAGCCAACCGCTTGAAGGTAAAAGAAGAGAAAAAAGGAGGAAAATAAAGCCAATTTCTTTAGTCTTGGACCATGATTCATTGTGCTAATCCACACCCATGTTTATTGTTGCGCTATCTGCTGAAAGATTTGAGTGCAGATTTAGTATCTCTCCTGGAAACAAAATTGAGAATTGTTGAACATGGCATTTCACCTATGGACTTGGTTTCGTGTTCCTCAAAGCATTTAGATCACCGAGCCACTTGTCCTGTTGAAAATGAGACATACTTTTGCCAAATTCTCAGCTAGTTTATATTTGAATGTCACTATTCTAAACTTTAACTGAACTAAATCTATGGCTTGTCCTTGCCAACATCGTTCTGGGTAGCCTTTCAAAAAGATTGTCCCCCTTGGTCCCTGTAAGCAGCGCTATTTCCCCAAGTTCAGAAGTAGTTCTCTTTCTCTTACTCGATTTTCTATCAGGTACGGATTGCTTAGAGGCACTCTAAGGGCCCCTGCTTTGGGGTGGATGATGTACAAAGTACTGGTCAGCAACGAGAAGGCAATCCAATCCCAGTACAAATCTCATGTATACGCAAACCCCGACAACGTGACACCAGAAATTGTCGAGAGCAGGTATGGGCTAACTAAACGACCAGGTGCCCAATATGTGCCTGCCGCTTTCTTGACGGGTCTACTTGACCCTGTGAAATCGCGAGAGGAGTTTCTTGAGCTATTTGCCAGTTTGGAGGGAAAGACGCCAGTCCTAGTCATGTCAACCGAAGGCTCTCCTAGGAGGTCAAAAGCAGAGATGGAAGCCCTTCGAGGAGCCAAAGGGGTTACCAAATTCGTGGGGGTTCCAGGTGCGCTCTTGCCACAGGAAGAGTACCCATCTGCCGTTGCGGAGGAGCTGTACCGCTTTTTGCTGGAGAATTTTGAATCTTGAAAGCTTCTCAACTTGATATCGATGGTTGTAGTGTTAGTATCTCAATATGTTACAGCGATTAGTTCAGACTCTTTGCCTCTGCGATCTCATGATGCACATTAACATTTACCGGAAGTTACGGCATGATTTTACGTCAATAGATTTATACTGCAAAAACTTGTCCAAGGAAATGCTAGTGTGTTTGGCATTTATTTTTGGGATCCCATTTTGCCCAAATGCTAGCATTTCCAAGGCCTTTTAAAGGCCTTAAGCTCAAGGCGCCCCCACACCTGATTTTATACGGTAGTCAAGCTTAGGGGAATTGGAGATCTGGTTTAGTTTCTGGCGAAATGTCGATTATTGCCTGTTTTGCATAGAAATACTTGAAATTACCGTCCTTAGTGTTGCCCCGTCCAGGCTGCCCGAGGTTGCGAATGATCTGGGTTTTGCTTTGCCTCGCCGGAGTCTCGGTCAGGAACACGCGACGCCACACGGTCCTGCACGCCATTATTTGTTCGATTTGGTCTTCAACTTCGATTTTTCTGGAATCTGGGTTTTGCTAGCTTTCTTTAGTTCACTGTTTTGAGCTGGGATCATTGGTGCAGAAGTTTGACCCACCGGAGAAACACTGCCGTAAAAAACAAGTTTCGTTGGAGTATGTGGGTTATTCCTTTGGATGATGTTCCGGATGCTAGGGAGATTGGATTGTGCATGACGGTTATGAAATAAAGTGATGACAACAATGACCATAGAGGAGTTTGGAATTGTGCTTGTGGGACAAGAAGGTCGAGCTGAAGAACAGAATTGTTTTGGATATTCTTGATATGCAATTAGGTGACTTTAATAAATCGATGCCAACTAGGAGCAATTTATTGGTTAGGATGAAATGTTCAGTCTCAGAGTGTATACCTTTCGAATGAAGTTTACATAATTTTCTGCAATTTAAGTATGTCGATTTCTAGTTCGAAGGGTGCTTTCCAAGAAAATCATGGATTGACTGATATAGAATTGAACTTAATAGATGAAATGGAGTTCTATGGCTGCTTCAATTGGACAGCTTTACTTTTTCACATCTCTCTCTCATTTTGCTGGTGTACACAGTGGGACTCATGCTGGATCTTACCGTTAAACCTCCAACAAATTTACAAACAAAAATGCCACTAGCTCTTGAAATGATTTTGACAGGGGGAAGTTCTTGATTGATGATGGCAGGGAGAAGTTACGAGATAAAGATGGCACAATCAGTGGTTACGAACAAGGACGCCACAATCAGTATTGTGGTTTGGTCCATCAAAATTGGAACCGCGGCTTTTTCAAGCTGAGTGTTTTTCTCCTCGTCGCAACTTGCAAGTATGGATATGAGAAAGATGCATAAATTTTCTTTTTGGGCCCGTGAGAAGATGCATGAATTGGTATAATATAGTTTTTGCATGGCATTTGCAGTGCCAATGACAACGAAGTAACAGTCCTGTTTTGTGAAAGAGTTATGCGAAAAATCCACATATGTGACCATATTTATTATAATGAAATTAATTTATTTGAGAAAGATTCACTTTGATGTGATTTTTTATTTATAAATTTGTTAATATGTCTCTTTTAGATCACTCTCAACATGAAAATATAAAAGTTACAATCATTATATTAATTCTTAAATTTTAAAAAAAATTATAATTAAAAACTTAAAATGGTCACACCAAAGGGCTTTCCAAATATATATTTACCAAACAATATTTTCCAAAGTTGCTTTCTAAAGGCACTTTTCAATCACAGTTTACCGAACGAAATGTCCTATCGGAAGTGGGCCTTGGGCCCACCACTCGACGGACCAGATTTCATCGCCACCCCACCCCAAATCTCTATCCCTAATTAATCCAACGGCAACTAGTGACCCGATCGGTCCGAATGCCGACAAAACACACTCGCCGTCTTGTCTAGCTGGATCGTGACACCTCAGCATCCTGCAGTGACTTGCCCAACTTGCGCGGGCCCCGTGGGAGTTTTTGCATAATACTTCTTAAAAAAGCCTTCTTCCCGGGGGTGGGGGGCTGCTGGCGTGGGGCTCCAATTCGCACCTACCAAAAGCCCAATCAATTTTCGTGCGATGTCCTCGTTCAATTCTGTCGCCCCCTCCCCCCCCCCCCCCCCCCTCGTCCTTCCGTTAATGTTAGGAAAATAACACGAACAATCTCTGAACTTTAGCTTAATATATAATTTAATCTCTAAATTTTTAATTTGTTCAATGTAGTCTCTGAACTTTAACCGAATGTGCAATGTAGTCCCTGAACTTTTAATTTGTTCAATGTCATTCTTGAACTTTTGGTACATGTTCAATTTAGTTCCTGAACTATAAGAAAATGTTCAATTTAGTCCTTGCATTAATTCAAATTCAGGGACTACATTGAACATGTACCCAAAGTCCAAGGATCATATTGAACAAATTAAAAGTTGAGGGATCACATTGAATATTGGGCTAAAGTTCAGGGACTACATTGAACAAATTAAAAGTTCAGGGACCAAATTGCACATTGGACCAAAGTTTGGGGACTGTTTATGTCATTATCCCTTTAATGCTTGATGATACTGCGTTGTATCTCTAAGGACCACACACGTGTCGACCCCGTCCACGTAGAAGCGGCGGGGCCCGCCAGTAGCTCCCGCATTGGTCCGGAGGTGCCGCGGGGTGCGTGGAATCCGGGAAGGGTGGAGAACATGGCAGGTCGCTTGGCGAAGGAGTTGGACGAAATTCGACGCTGGGTCACCGTCTGTGTAGGTCGATGTTTCTGAGGATGAGGGAGGGCGGCCAATGATCCGAACCGGGGGGGGAAAAGATATGAACTTAATGAGATGGTGAAGCACCGCTAATTTAGCGGAATTGATGCCCACTACACCGAGGAGTGATTAAGAGCCACCATTATTTCATCGTACATCATGATATCGATGGGGCTCTAATTGGCAGAACTAATCGCGTGTTCATCGACAGGCGAAAAAATAATCTTCGTTGCTGTTTCGGTACGTCTCGGAATGGCGATGTATGAGTGATTCGAGGATCGACAAGCAGATTTCGAAGAAAGGCACGCGGGCTTGTCGTACTTGGGAACAGTAACCGGTTCAATCTTTCTCATCGATTGACTTTCAAACATCGCCATCTCTCGTCAAATCGATCGTGTTAGTATAGAAGAGGCAATTTTTAGAAACAAAACGCGGCAATATTCTACTCCTTACTCTTTCCATATACATGAATTGGACGACGGAGATTGACAGTCCAACCTCACTATTCTTGGTATTGTGTCATTAGATGGAAACATAGACGAAAATGTTGTATTTGGCATGGCCATATTGCGGGCCTAACGGTGTAGAGCGGGTCGCGTCAACATCAATTTTTGCCCAATGAATAAATCCGACTTAATCACCAGGGATTGCTCCAGTGGCCACCCTTCCCACTTGGGAAATGGGAAGAGGGAGGTGGGGAGTTTGATTCTCTACCTTCTCGAGAGGTCTAGAGATAAGGATGCGTGAGTGAAGGAGCAAAGTTTCAATAACTGCGCACAACATATAGCACACACAGTGGCTTGTTAAATAGAAACAGGATAGAACGAGACAAAAATAAATAAATCAAACTTTATATTTATGATTGTCTCTCCCTTGCGCTCGTGAAGAACTAGAAGGGGGAATTTACCGAAAATCTCATATCAATTCAATCCTAAATATTTTAATTGTGACAATTCAGTTATAAATTTTTTTACTATTTGTCAATTTAGTCCTAAACAATTTAACGATTTGCCATATTAAACATTTTGTCAATTTAGTCTTTTCGACTAATTTTGGCCTTAAAACGCTGACATAGCAGTCTAGTTAATGCTAGCCGTCCTTTGTGGTTTGAGATTGGCAAATCATCAAAATGTATAAAATAAATTAGCAAACCGACAAAATGCTTATAACTAAATTGGCACAATTGAAAGGTTTAGAACTAAATTTGTCAAATTGAAAGATTTAGGACTCAATTAGAATAAGTGCAATAGATTTAAGATTTCTTTTTGGGAAAATTTCAAATAAGGGCATGAAGGGCCCTTATTTTTTTCAAATAAAGGTACAAAGTGGATCTTATTTCAAATAAGAGCCTGAGTTGCCAAATCGTCACAAATAAGGACCTTTGGCCAGCCGGCCAATATGTGACTATTTCGACCGTTGAAAAAGGGCTAAAAATTATAAGTATATATTTTTTATTTTTTTTACTTTCCTTCTTTTTTTCCTTTTCTTTTTCTTTTATTTTTTCTTTTTTCTTTTTTCTTTTTCCCTCTTCCCTCCCTCAGTCATTGTCGTGCCTCATAGGTGAGGGCCGCCCTTGCCGGCGTCGGGCGAGAGCATTCCTCACCTAGGCAGGTGAGAGCCACCCTCGCTTGATCTGGCGAGAGCGTTCCTCACCAAATCCAGCAAGGGCAAGGGTTGTGCCAGTGAGGCCAAGCGAGTGTAACCCCCACCCTTATAGCTCAAGCTAACCTCGCCTAAGTCCAGCGACCTCCGCCAACCATCGATAAGGCTCGGCGATGGTCGGCGAAGGGAAGAGGGAAAAAGAAAACGAAAACAAAAGGAAAACAAAAAAAGAAAGAAAGAAGAAAAAAATTAAAAAGGTAAAGGATGAAAATGGCATTAAGGTGAGACCCTTCTTTGAAACTGATATGGCCACTTTATGCTATTATTTGAAACAAGGTCCACTTTAGGCCTTGTTTGAAAAAATAATAGCATTTCAAGTCCTTATTTGAAGTAAGATCCATTTTATGCCCTTATTTGAGAAAATGATGGCACTTCAGGCTCTTATTTAGGATTTTTCATTTTTTTTTAATAATTTTTCGTTACTCGAAGCTCATAGTGTCATCAATCCCAGGAGAGGATAGGTGTTAAGACAAATGTGTCGTCGCCATTGATAGATGAATGTAGACGAGTGCTTCCATTTTCAAAGTCTCCCTTTTATTTTTATGTTATCTTATTATATTTTTATTTTTTTGTATTTTTGCTGGACAAAAAGTTGAATAAAGACACACCCAATGTTTCTAATGCAGCATTCAACTTTTTGCTTCTTCTTTTTTGGGTTCATTTGGCAGCATACAAAGGAGATGAACGAGTCATGCTTTGGTGTAACTTAGAATGTGAATTTCTCCGTACAAAGATACAATAATGTCGTGTTCATACACAA